TAACTAAATTTCAATTGAAATATTTATTAAATATTATCTATTAGTAGTCAAAATTGGATCAATATCGCAAGCCCGACAACCGAAAGACCGTCTATTGAAATTCCGACTATATCAAAATCTCGACAACCATAATCCCGACAATCAAAATCCCGACTATATCGAAATCCCGACTACCATAAAAATGTTATTGTAGAAATTTATAGTAATAAAAGACACTGTCGGGATTTCAATATAGTCGGGATTATGGTAGTTAAAAATTGCTTTTGCTCTTCACAAAAATTAACATTTAAAATTCTCTAATCAATCATCATTTATATCTAAAGAATATTTACATAACAATCGATCACTAACAACTTATTATTTCAATATATTTCTGATCTGATTTAACATAAGAATTGAACTAAATTTTCTAAATAAAGAAGTATAATTGGTTGCCGCGTCTCCTCCGCGATGATAAATATCAAGGACAAATTATTTTTACAAGCCCCAGTGGCCTAATGGATAAGGCATCGGCCTCCTAAGCCGGGGATTGTGGGTTCGAGTCCCATCTGGGGTACAATAATCTTTTTACATTAATATTATAAATATATTATTCAATAAAGTAACGTTATTATTACTTTACATCAATCAACTTAATTATGTAAGTTCTATTGTTCATTAAATTATTGTTTCAATAATGTTGGCTTCATAACAATTGTTAATATAATAATTGTATAGATGTAATAGGTAACATAAATTTTATATTATTTATAAATAAGTCATTAATAATAAATATCAAGTTTGTATAGTAATAAAAATTACTAAAAACATATAGAAACAATTAAAGTTGTAACCAAAATGATTGATCTTTAATATTTACTTTAACAAAGAAGTTATTGTAGACAATAATCAACAGAATATTATTATATTAATTGTATGAAAAATTGGAATTTGTATATAAAATGTTGATAAATTTTATGTTGTTGTTGTAGGCCAGTGGTCGGCAAAGTGCGGCTCTTTGGCTACTTAAGTGCGGCTCTGGCACAAATATCCAAGGAGGCGCAATAATATTTTCATTTAAAACAAAAACTTGGAGAAGAAAAATTGTGATCTTAGTTTACAACACAAGTGGTCTGCTTTGAATGACCTGGGGAAGGAAGACATGATCATTTTCAACGCTTGGAATAGTTTTCCTGACTCTTACGATCAGCTGAAAAAGCTCGCGTTTGCAGTTCTTTCCCTTTTCGGCGAACAATCTTTTTCAAGCATGAACATTATCAAGAGTAAACTGAGAAGTCGTCTTATTGATGAGAACTTGGAATAAGTCAATAAACCTGACTTACTCAAACTTTCCAAGAAGATGCAAGCACATTGTTCGCATTAATAAATATTTATTAAGTATAAAATTTAGTTTTATTTAGTGTACTACTTATTTATATAATAAAAGTTTACTAAACAAGCAGATTTGGCTCCCAATTTTTTTTTAATTGTTGTAATGTTCATATTTGGCTCTTTGGCTAATAAATTTAGCCGACCACTGTTGTAGGCAATATTCTATTGAAATTTCTTATAATTTCTTTACACATAAACGTAAATATTTTAGAGTTAAATTCGATTTAAGTGAGGTAGGTAAGGGTTCGCCCTATAAGTAATTAGGGTTGTCACGCGGAGAGAAAAATCCGCTTTTGGCGCGACAACAGAATGTCATATTTTTCTTTGCAAATGTCACGAAGAACATTACGAGCAAAATGTTACTGCAATCGAAAACAATCCAAAAAAAATTATTTACATTAAATACATATAAATTTAATAACAAAAAACCTGTATTTCAAACATGCTAACCTTTTCTAGAAGTTGTTGCAAAGTACGTAATCCAAAATATAATCCAGATCTTCTGGAGGCACAGAAAATTGATATTAGAGCGAAAAAAAAAACAATATCGAATAACAAAAGATAATGATGAATCGCACAGCACTCTTCAGTATAAAGTCTTTGGTGATATTGCGATGCGAGAACAAAAACATTGCGAGAGTGCCGTGGTACGGCGGCGTCGCGACGCTCTGCGTCTCCGGCAACTATGCACACACTCCGGCCCGTCGCCGGAATCGCACTGAAACGCGTTTCACCGAATTGAATGGCACACGGAGTAGAGGGAACAAACGCATGCGTTCGTTCATATTTAAATTGCCGAAACTGTTTTCATTGTGTTATTAGTTCATCTTCTGGTATGTATGTATGTATTCTACCATTCGGATGCAATTATGGGCGAATTGTTATGCAATTGACGAAATTTTCGATGCACGCATATCGATGAGATGAGATGCGCACGTTTATTATTATTGCGCCCTCATTTAATAATCTTAATGAGAGGATTCGACATCATTAATTTAAAGATTTTTATTTTCGCGCTAATTCTTGCTGCACATTGCATAGCAGCAGTACGGAGAGGAAAATTAAAAATAAATAGGAGTGAAGTGCTTGAAACGCGGTTTATCCGTGCGAACATTTTTCCTAAATTAATTTATTAATTGAACGGACGGATCATTAATAAATTAATTAATATAACTATAAAAAAATATAATTCAACATAATATTTCTTGTTAAAATTACTTGAAATCGTAATTATAGAATGTCGAATTAATTATAAACAAATGGTGTTACAACCTATAAGATACAGACTGAATTATTATAAAATCTTAATAAAATTAGAATGTCAAAAATTACTAGTACACTTGGTTCTCTTTTTATGCGGTAGATATGTTCCACAGGAAAACGCATAAAAATAAATCGCACAAAAAAGGACTAGACACACGTATAAAAATAAAGAAAACGTTCCATAATTTTTTAAAAACCGCATAAAACTAAATCAATGAGTTACAATATACCGAAAATCGCATAAAAAAGGGTTTATTAAATTTCAGAAAAATAATTAGTCTTACTATCTTATTTCTTTCTGAAATGTTTATTCATAATTTTATAAAAACGTTAACAATCATAGACAAGTTTATTAAATTTCAGAAAAATATAATCTTAACATATTCCTTCTAAATTTATACGGAAAAATTTTACAAAAAAAAATACGGAAAATTTTTATGAAAGTTAATCTTTCTTCACGTATTTTTCTTTAGAATTATCGTCGCTATATGAGAGTGTTCGGCATAATTTGCGAATTGGTTCGAAATCACTTTCATCACAAGAAGAGATAGTCAGCATATCAGATCTATGTCCTGGACATAATGATTGTTCACAAGTAAAATTAGTCTCAACTTTGCATGTTGATTTTTTCCCTTTGACAATATAATCAGTGATTAAACTTTGCGATGGCTTTGCTATTTTTTTGTACAATTCCTGATATCCAGAAATGCAATTCTGAAGCTCGCGTTGAAACTTGAATGCTCGTTCAGATTTATCATCTTTTTCGATAAAATGGTTTGCCAATTTGTGTCAAAATGGCCTAAAATAGTTATTTAAAAAAATGTTTCTTGAAATAAAAACCGCATAACTTCAAAACCGCAAAAAAAGAGGACCGAGTTTATTAATACTTGGCAAGTACCGCGTATATATGTAATTATAATTTTGGAAATTACAAATTAATTTTATCTTACAGTACTTGCCAAGTAAGTAATCAGGTTTATCTTGTTAAATACTAGCATTATATACATCAAATATAAAAATTGGTAGTAAATGTTTGAAAACATAAATATTCAATGTAAAAGTGCAAAAAGGAATATTATTACTTAATGTTTCCCGACATAAATAGTACTTTAAAAATATGAAATTCTGACAAATATATAAATAAACTATAGATGATTGATTAATATTTAGAACTTTTGTGCTTTGCAAATCGTGTATCAAGAACAAATATCGTTCAATAAACATAACAAATGAATAGCGAGAGAAATTTTGCAATCGGAGAGGTCGTGCATTGTGTGGGTGGAAACATTGCGATGTTCGAAACGAAACGGGAGGAACTGTTTAGCAATTTAAGTTCAGATTTTGGTTTCAGATGATGGCGGGGCAGCGCGGTCTTTTGTGCCGGTCTAATTGTCCGTTCCGCATTATATCGGGGATAGCCCATGCATTCACACACACACATTCATCCAATGCTGCTGCCGCCGCCGCCGCCTCCTCCTCCTCCACCACCACCCCATGTATTAGTAGTAGTAGACGAGTTTATATAGAAATGCGGCGCGTTGTCGATAAGGAAACCCATTTTATTTGATGGCGAGTACGCGATTGTTCGACTGGATTGACTGCCATTGTCAACGGCACGTCTTTTCTATATGTATGAATGTAGACACCCGTGGATTCACACAATGGCTATTCACTATTTAATCGCACCGCCTTGCCTGCATGTACGAATATACGTATACATATATACAAACACACACATGCGAGGCGCGCATATCTCTAGATGTAGTCGATAATTTTCTATATATTTCGGTTGTGTATCGAAACATCTTTCTACTTCACATAATAAACTTTTAATCCGCGAGGAACGACTCCAACAAAAGCCGTTTTATTACTTTTTGTTTCGCCATTGTACTTTTTCTCTCCTTCCTCCCTCGCCATCCATTGTTAAGAAAAGGTGCGCGCACACATACATATACACCTTACCTTCCAACGAGAGGACGACTACAATACCCAAAGTCCTTCTAAAATTCAATCAAAATTGTATGTATATATACACACACACAAACACACACTTCATTCCTCGCGTACAGCATTATTCCCCGCACATATAGATTCGCTGCTTCTGATGGAAATAAATATATTTGTATTTTCGACTATTTCGGCTTTAATTAACAATATATTTTTTGTGGAAGCTGGTGACTACTTCAATACTATGCATGCATGCGAATTTACGCAAAGCGGAAATTACGCAAGTGAATTTACGAGCTGATAGGTGCAGCCGCAGCGCGCTTGCAGGCAGCAATCCATCAACTACCAGATAACACACTTCATATGTATATAGAGATTGGAAAACGTTCAGAGGTCTAGAAATAACGAGGGTGGAGAAATAAAATCGTGCCTGCCTTTTATTTATAATAAACCATTACACATTACTAATTGAACGCTACATGTAGTATTAATATATAGCATTATATATATTACTTCCAATTATTAACATTTACCTATTATGTATGTATAGTTTTTTTTATATATATATATCTAAAAAGAAATATTATATGTATGTATAACTGAAATCTTATTTAAACGTCGGGGAGAATTATAATAATACACATTGTTGTTTTGCGCAAAGGGAAGATATACGAGTTAAAATCTAAACAGCAAAACTTACTTTAGACTTTAGGCTTAAGGATATCTTTGTTCCTCTCTAGCATCTCCTCCTTCTTGTCTTTTTTGGCCTTGCTCAGGAATTTATCCATCTCTTCGAGGTTAGTTTCGGAGGGGATCTCTTTCCTAGAACTGGCGTTATTATCACCACCGCCACTCTCATCTCTATCCGCCCATTTGCCATCATAGACATCTCTATCCACATACTTCTCATTGCTGTAATCATCCCTATCTTCTCCTTCCGACAAAGGACCGTCGTGTCTGATTTGCTCGCCCTCGTTCGGTAGATACTTGTTGATCTTTTGATCCTTCTCCTCTTGCTGCACCTTGAAGTATGCCAAAAAAAAAAAGTATATATGAATTCAATAAAACTCTAAAAGTAAACATTGTCAAACCTTCTTAGGATCTCTATCGATTGGTGAATCCCTATCTCTGCTACCGCTGAACGATCTGCTCCTATCCCTGGACCGGCTCCTGTCGTATCTGCGGTCACGGAAATCCCTGTAGCCGCCACCCCTTTGGAACCTTCCTCTAGGACGACGTCCTCGGTTGAAGTAGCGTCCGCCACCTCTACCACCGCCACCTCCACGATGATCTCGATCGTATCTGTCTCTATTGTGGTAATTCGCACCGTTACCGCCACCGCCGCCGCCTCGGCCACCTCTCGAGTAATTGTTTCTTGGATTTTGGAATCTCGGTTTATAGTAGGTGCCTCTGTCATTGAATCTACCTCCTCGGAAGCCACCTCTTCGTCGTCGCCTGTCGCCCGAATATGAGCGGGAGCGCGACCTACTGCGAGAATAATAAGAGCCTGAACGAGACCTGGATCTGCTGTAATAAGACCTGGAACGACTGCGGTAGCTTCTGGATCTCGAACGAGACCCGCTGCTTGACCGACTGTACTTGCCAGGGCCACGAGAATGAGAACGAGATCGCCGGGGCGACCTGCTTTCAGTGCGTGGACGACCTGGTGGCTCTGGTGGTTTACCACGTCCATCTAAACGTAAATAGAAGAAAAAAAATAACATTAGCATTCACATCCTGTGTTGGGTTTTGTTGATAAAACTATAAACATACCAAATCTGTCTTTTGGTGCCTGAACGGCCGGTGGCATAGGTGGCAAGTTCTTGGGAGGCGTCACGAGTCTGAAGTTTCCGAACTTATCCAACACCACTTGACCTGGTGGTATAGGGTTGGATTTTGGTGGAACTGGCATTTTTTTCTTACCCAACATCTCTGGCTCTTGCTTTTTACCTCCAGCCTCTTTTTGCGCCATGGCCTTGCGAACAGACATGTTTTTTTCGGGTATCGGCAGCACGACTTTCTTCGGCGACTCCTTCATGTGATCCCCATTCTTCTCGTGCATCATCAGCATTGGATCTTCCAGCCAATCATCGCGGTCATTTTTTCGCTTAAATCTGGAGGTGCTGACAGGAGCAGCAGCAATGTGCATTTTCCATTTCTGGCTATTTCCCATAGATGATACCAAATCCGTTTCAATTGGCCTCGCTTTTGGTTCCCTAGAAGGTGAAATAGGTGGTAATCCTTTCGGACTAACATCGCTCATGTCGGCAGCGCCCCTGCAAAGGGAAAAAAACATTATGTAACCGAAAAAAACAAAGACGCAATCAAAAATATTACCTTTTGATATCTTTACCTAATGCATAATAGGCATTCAATTTTGTTTCCAAATCATCAAAGTCAGTTAAACTTTCAAGCAATTTCCTACTGTAACCGACTTTCTGTAGCAAATAACTGTCATCGTCATCAGAGTGTCCATGTTTCTTGCTGCTTCTTTTACTGCTACTATCCTTGATTCCCAACTCTTTTTTCAAAGCATCTCGCAATTCGTATTCATCCAATTTTCTCTTCATCTTCTTGTCTTTGCGTTTTTTCTTGCTTTCTTTTTTCGATTTTTTATCCTTCTTCTTTTTCTTCTTCTTATCCTCTTTCTTATCTTTCTTCCATTTTTCACTCTCCTCTAAAAACTTTCTTACCTTGTCCTCGTAATCGGTATCCCCTTGTTTGGCAGTTTCAAGAAAAGCGCGTAGCTTTGCCTCGTACGAATCTCCGCTGGATTTAGGTCGTTCCAAAGAAAAGTCCAGATTGCTGGTACTGCTGGCAGGCTTATTAAATTGATAAGTTGCCGAACTCTCGTGAACTGGATCCATCATAGCCATCCGCTTGCTAAGTGGCGACAAAGAACTTTGCTTCTCGCGACGCGAACGAGACCGGTGCTTCTTGCGTTTTTTGAAGTCCGAATCTCCAGAGCTTGAGCTAGAATCGCTACTGCTCGAGGATGAGCTACTAGAACTGTCATTGCTTCCGGATGAACTAGAGCTTGACGTGGAACTCGATCGTCTGCGGTTCTTTCGCTTCTTACTTTTCTTCTTTTTCTTCTTGTCCTTCTTCTCCTCGTCTTCCGGTTTCAATAGATGTTTGAGTGCATCATTAACATCAGTAGACTTCCCGGCACCGCTCAAATTTGGCAGCAGCAGCTCAGTGGGTTCAATCAAGTTCTTGGGTGGTTGGACTTTGTTCTTCAGGAACTCCAAACTGTTCTGGGCTTCTTCATGGAATGGTATTATGGCCAAGCAGCTTTGATAAGCGCCTTTAGCTTCCTCGAACTTGTTTTCTTCCTCGTAGCTACGTCCAAGCGCAACAAGGGTTTCGCCCATGTACTTCCTAGCATTGGCATGATTCGGATTTAGCTTCAAAGCTGTTTCGAAATCTTCAATTGCCTTATGGAAATTTCCACTATTCGCATAAAGAGCACCTCTAGCCACTAAACCTTCCACATTCTTCGGGTCAATGTTCAATGCTTTATTCAAACATTGAAAAGCTTCAGTATGACGACCTGCTTTGAAATGATCAATACCATCGGCAACGTTGCTGTATGCCCACTTGCTTGCTTGCTGCTGCCTGAGTTCGCTGGCGTATTCAGATTCTGGGAATTTTGTCCTGAATTATGAAAGAAACTTCTTTTATTAAAAAATATTCTATTATCAAGTATTGCTGAATCTTACCTAAGCATGGAAATGTTAGAACAATGCTTGTCAATGCCCAATTGCGTTGACAAGTGCGAAATATTGTTGGGATTGTTGAAGCCAACACTCCGCTCGAGCACAGTATCATAGGTTTCATTTTTGTGTTCGAGTGCTTTCCTGTAACCACAAATAAACAAGCGACCGTTTTATACTTCTGCCAGGAACCAACCAAAAGGCAAATAAATATTGATAACATTAACATTCATTAAAACCTAAAAATCATCATCAATGGGTCTAGCCTAAGAACAAAAAACTAGACTCAAAGAAGATTAGTTATAATAAGAATACTTATAGACTATAATAGAAATTATAATTAATATACATACCAAATGTACGGAAAACAAATTAACATTCCCATAGCATTTAACTTATTCCTGCATATACTGTATATTTTTGTGTGGGCAAAATTATAGATACGTTTTTATCTGTGATATTCGTTTTTGTTATTTTTGAGCACAAATATTTGTTTGCATTTTCCAAAGATCGTTTATATGTATGTAACTTTACATAGGTTTTTAGGCAATTTTTACAACAACTTTTCTGGATAGAGTACTGCGAAAAACATAGCAAGAGCTTAACACAAAATATTCACCAAAAACAAAAATAATAAAATATAAATAAAATTAAATCCATCTTTGTTGTCTCACCTGTGTTCATTTTGGTCAATCGTAGATGGGGAATGATAAAATTACATATATTTATACTGTAGTTTTATATATTGTATATATATGGTTTATATGCCCAATGGTGCAACTTTACTTGTGCGGAAATTTTATTATTTTTGTAAACAATTGAAATAGATTTTTTGGTCTGTAAGAGCAATGCACAAATCTTAGGTTTTGGTTTTTTTTTATATGTACTTTAAACCTACGGATAAAAACATATTTATCAACTCATCTCTTTCTCTCTTAAGTGCAAATCACACACAATCCCAAAATGTAATTGCATCAATCCATAAAAAGCAATTGAAATCAAATCAAATTTGCTAAAGAAATAATTTAACAACAGAAAATGATAGAATTATATTCAAACTTACTTGTATGCAAGTGGCAAGTCGTCTGCACTTATTAATCCTAACGGCGGCCGAATTTCTGGATCTGTTGGTTGCTTTGTGGTGCCTTTCATACCACACATAATCTTATCCGTATCAGCAATTACTTCAAGAACTTCACACAACACAGTGTCATTCATCATGTAATTCCTACCGACACCTTTCCTATCCACAGCAGGGATTACATTTGCCACTGGACAAAAAGCCTGACAGCAAACATTTAATTAATATTAATATGAAATAATGTCACTCAAACAAAAAACTAACCTTCACATTAATGTCTGCTACATAATGGACTGGCTCTCCAACTCCAGAAGTGCAGAGTACTTTCAACATCATTCCGGACTGTGTTTTGCTCACAATTGTGCCCAAAATCAGATGTCCTATTTTAACACTCTGAAAAAAAATATTAAACAAATCAATAATTACTCATAAATCAATAATATGACATTGAACAACTTACATCCCGGAAATATTTCAATCTGCTCTGCTTATCCACATTTATGTAGGTTTCGAGGGAGGGTATTATGGCATACATGTCTTCGGAAACAACTGCAGTCTGTGGGATTTCTGTCTTCTCAAAATTCTCCTTGGCGTAGAGCACATCAGCTTTCCTCGCCATGAATTGTTGAAGCTTCAATCGTTTTCCACGATCTTGGAAACTTAGATGCTTGTTGCGTCTGTTGTGCACCTCGTAGTTAACATCCCTGAACTTTGAACCATCCTGTTCACCATGTTCACTTTCCCAGATTTTCTCAAACTGCTGGCCATGATAATTAATAGCATTCACCACCAAATCTGAGCTAATCGACTCCATTATGGAGCGCAAACGATTGTTGAAAACGCAACTTTTCAGTCAATTATTCTGCACACAGAAACAATTATATATAGGGTTTTGTACGTTCGTACTTTTTTTGTTTTCAGTTGAATTATTGTATATGGGTGAAAAATTCAATACCGGAAACATGGCGAATTATAAAGTGGGTGGAGGGTAATTATTGTACTCGGAAACTGAGCAAATTTTAGATTCACCGGTATAAATTAATGGAAATTTAATTACTAATGAGAATAACGAACAAATCTACGCAAAATATACGCGCATAGTGCAGTTGTAATTCTAGAAAAAACAGATATTTTACCTGACGCTTTCACTAAACACAACACTCAATGACATCAAACAATTTTATGATGGCGTCTCTTTTGCAGTTGCTTTCAATTGTTACCAACAGTTACTGCCAACTTAAGACGGTCGATTGCGCGGGTATTTTGAATATTTCGAATGGTCACCTTTTAGCTAACATTTTACAATTCACTTATCATTTACGCCAGTGCTTCTCAAAGTAGCAGTGTCAACCCCCAGTGGGTGACAAAAAGGGGGAGTCACAGAAATATTTATGTTTTTTCTATAAATAGAGTTCTTTCAAATGTTTAAGTTTGAGAAACGTTAATTTCGCAATTTGTTCGATTTCGTATCCTTATATTATGCAACTGATTTTATGCTGAACAATTAAATATTTGGCTATTTTTGGTCGGAGCCAATCGCAAGCCCGACAACCGAAATCCCGATCTTCGAAATCCCGGCTGGCTCAAAATCCCGACGTTAGAAATCCCGACTATGTCAAAATCCCGACTACCATAATCCCGACAATCAAAATGCCGACTATATAGAAATCCAGAAAATGTCTTTAATTATTATAATTTTTATTTTTTTTTTGTATCCTTTGTGATAATGGGTAGAATATGTTTGGGATAAAATTCTACAATAACATTTTTATGATAGTCGGGATTTTGATTGTCGGGATTATGGTAGTCGGGATTTTGATTATCGGGATTATGGTAGTTGGGATTTCGGTATGGTCGACTACCATAATCCCGACAATCAAAATCCCGTCTATATCTAAATACCGACAGTCTTTAATTATTATTATTTTTTGTATTCTTTTTTTTATTCACAACCTGCCAATTTTTGGCAATGAGCAGAATATGTTTGGGATAAATTTCTACAATAACATTTTTATGGTAGTCGAAATTTCGATATAAGCGAGATTTTGATTGTCGGGATTGTGGTAGTCGGAATTTTGATTGTCGGGATTATGGAAGTCGGGATTTCGGTATAGTCGACTACCATAATCCTGACAATCAAAATCCCGACAGTGTCTTTAATTATTATATATTTATTTTGTATCCTTTTTTTTATTCACAACCTGCCAATTTTGGACAATGAGTAAAATATGTTTGGGGTAAATTTCTACAATAACATTTTTATGGCAGTCGAAATTTCGATATAGGCGGGATTTTGATTGTCGGGATTATGGTAGTCAGGATTTTGATTGTCGGGATTATGGTAGTCAGGATTTTGATTGTCGGGATTATGGTAGTCGGAATTTCGATATAGTCGGGATTTTGATTGTCCGGATTATGGTAGTTGGGATTTCGGTGTAGTCGACTACCATAATCCCGACAATCAAAATCCCGACTATATCTAAATACCGACAGTGTCTTTAATTATTGTATTTTTTGTGTATCCTTTTTTTATTCACAACCTGCCAATTTTTGACAATGAGTACAATATGTTTGGGATAAATTTCTACAATAACATTTTTATGGTAGTGGGGAATTCGATATAGGCGGTATTTTGATTGTCGGGATTATGGTAGACGGGTTTTCGGTGTAGTCGACTACCATAATCCCGACAATAAAAATCCCGACTATATCGAAATCCCGACAGTGACTTTAATTATTATATTTTTTTTTTGTATCCATTTTTTATTCACAACCTGCCAATTTTTGACAATGAGTAGAATATGTTTGGGATAAATTTCTACAATAACATTTTTATGGTTGTCGGGATTTCGATATAGGCGGGATTTTGATTATCGGGATTATGGTAGTTAGGATTTTGATTGTCGGGATTATGGTAGTCGGGATTTTGGTATAGTCGGGATTTCGAACGTCGAGATTTCAATAGACGATCTTTCGGTTGTCGGTTATCACAACAGATTGATAAATTTTGCAGAAAATAATAAACTTTCAAATGTTTTTCCCATACATACCAATGTAAATTGGTTAAAGCTAGATCTATTTTTTTTATATAATCTGTACATTGGGAAATACCACAGAGTTCTTAGAATTATATTAGATTAAAAATATATAGATTCATATCAATTTTGATACTAAATGCAAACAAGAACGTGCACGTGTCAATTTGCTATTTATTTGCCAGTTAAATCTTACCTTTCTATCACTTTTATTTGTTTAAATAAACCTTAAACTATAATCAACATTATATCTATAAGTTAATCTCTAAGTTAAATTTTAAACAAAAGTAGTAACTAAATATTAATAGGATTATTGTTAATTTCTGAAAACAAAAATCAAAAACTTCTGTTGCTTTTAAACTCAATAGTAAACATATTTATAATTAGGACGGAAAGACTGCGGTCAATATCTCTTTGTATTTAAGTATAGAACACATTTTGTTTGTTATTATTCATTTGTCCTTTGTATCAATTTTGTTTATAGGTATTATTTAATATTGAAATCCCGAGTGCATCGAAATCCCGGCTATATTAAAATCCCGACTCTTGAAATCCCGATTACCATAATCTCGACAATTAAAATCCGGACTATATGGAAATCTTGAATATATCGAAATCCCGACAATCAAAATCCCGACTATATCAAAATCATAAAAACCATAAAACTATAAACCATAACTACCATAAAAATGTTATTGTAGAAATTTATAATAATAAAAGTCGGGATTTTAATATAGTCGGGATTTCGGTTGTCGGGCTTGCGATTTTTCTAGTGATAATTTTCAATAATATTTTTATTTCATTTTATCAATTTTGACGCATTGGGATTCTTGAAAGAAATAGAACAACTATTTTTTGAAATTGTTACTACCCTATTTTTGTAACCCTGCGACGATTATCGTACAAAAATTTTAATTACTTGTATAAATGCAGATAACAGAAACTGTGTACATCTGGAATGTTTCCAAAACTAAAATTTGATAATTATCAAAGTCCTGAAACGAATAAACAATAATATGTTATTATGTCATGATAACTTCGAGATAATTAGAAACAAAATAAATAAAGTGCAGTTAGGAAAATTTGTTTCTTTCGGATGCACATTATCGCGCTTTCGCAGATGCAGCACAATCATGCAATCCACTTATCATCGATTGATTTTGGATGGTTACAGCATACAGAAACAAAAAAAAAATGCATGCAATAATATATTGTTGTTACATTTGGATCGGCTCGTAACAATATGTGAAAATAGATGAGAAAAGAAGAAATCAAGCAGTCCAGATAGTATGGGTCATACCGGGGGTATCTAAATTAAAATTGTAAATATTATTCCAATCAAATTATTATTTTTTACCGTCTAAAAGGTTAGCAACACAAAAAAAAAGAGTTAGATAAGATTTAATTATCTGCATGTTGAATCCCTTTAAAAGAACAGATCCGACGAGTTTGCTTCAGTTGAGCCATCGACATGGATCACAAAGCAACATTACTGCTAGGTAATCTCGTCTAATAGTCCTGTGTAAGTTTAAAACTAATTTTTTTAATTTCTTTGTTGCAGCGATAGCAGCGGTTCTCGGCTACGCAAGTGGCTTCGAATCTCTGATTCCGGATAACAAGGAATTGGTTTACCATTATCATGCTACCATAAAGGCAGGCACCCACGTACCTGCTTACTACTCCTCTGCAATGGTACTCGATGGTAAATTGCACGTCCAAAACGACAGGAATTCGACCTTCATGCAGTTCTCCGACCTCAAGTACAAGATGCACAATGGCAAGTACAACGATTGGCACGAATTCGAAGCCACCGAACTTCCTTTGCCAGCCGAATTAGCCGAGTTATACAAGACCTTCCAAGTCGTCCATGACGCCTCTGGAATTGCCGTCGGTCTTGCCACCGAATGCGAACAGGAATTCGTCATCAATTTCCAAAAGGCTTTGGGATCGGTCATGCAATTGGACATGCAACATTTGAAATTGGATTCGGAAAAATCGTATGCCTTCCAGAGCGAAGAATACGGTCTTCACGGTAAAACTAAGCAATTCTACAACGTCATTCCAAGGAAAGATTTTGTCAGAGTTGAGAAGATGCTTGAAACCGACAGCTCCAGATACATGCACGAGGCTTTAACATCCAACGTTATCCCGCAAATGTGCGATGTTAAATATAGCGAACCATTGACTGCTGACAGCCAACGCGTTTACAACATCATCAAGAAAGACGGTGAACACGTTATGGATAAGATTGAAGCCACCGGCGGAATTTACTATCATCCATTGGAAGGCGAATCCGAAGCTTACCACGTTTTCTCCAACGTATCCTTGCATTTGTTGACCGTCGAACCAATCAAGACCAAATTGGATTGCGGATTCAAGAACTTCCAACATGGCTTCAACTATCAGACCGCCAACATTGAAGATGTTGTCGGAGGACCATTGCCAGACATCACCAACGGCAGACGCTCATGGAAACAAGAGGACTTGGTCGAAAAGGTCTACAAAATGCTTACCGAAGCTTCTCAATACTTGAGGCATCATCACATCGACGATAAACCAGTCAATCACGAACATGGACAACTCGTCAACCGCATCGTCAGACTAATGATGCACATGGACTCTACCTCCTTCAAGAAAATGCACGAAAAGCTCTTGACCAGCATCTCCGAAGAAGATAAATTCAAAGAAGTTTTGCAAATCTATTACAACATTGTTCCTCTCGTTGGAACCGCCGGTGCCATGCATCACATTAAGGAATTGGTTAAGGCTAGGCAAGTAAAGGAGAATGTTGCCATTGAAATGCTCGAAAAGATGGGTTTGTCAGTTAAAGTTCCTAACAAGAAGCTTGTCGATGATATGGAAGATTTGATGAACCTGGGCGATGACTGCACGTTGAATACACGCAAAGCTGCGCTCTACTGCTTTGCCAATATCGTGCAAAAAGCCACTTACAAGGAAGTCAGACATAACCAGAACAGCCACATCATGAGGAGCCAAGAAAGTTGCAAGCACTCCTTGCCTGAACCAAGATGGAACACCGCTCAATTCCCAAGCACAAAACATTACCTAAAGTACGTCAATGAGATCATGAAGAGACTGAAGGCCACCGAAGACTATAACCTCAGAATTCACTACATGCAAGTATTAGGAAACATGAGAATGGATTCCGTTGTCGAGCACTTGATCCCAGCTGTAAAAGGAGAAATGTTTGAAGATGAATATCTGCGATTGGTCGCCGCCAATGCCATCATGCCAATGATCAGCAGGAACCCAGACCTCCTCTTCGAAGTCTTCTTGCCCATCATGAGCGATACCCATCTCGGTATGCCTCTGAGAATCTATGCTTACTACATTATCATGGAATCTAGGCCAAACCTGTCCCGTTTGATTAACATCTACTGGCAACTACAGAACGAGCGCAGAAACGATCTGTACCAATTCCACTACAACTACCTGCAGAAGATGTCCCAAACTACTGACCCATGCTCCGAATTCTTTGCGATGAGACTCAACCAAATCTTGAGATATACTGAGAAGCCACAGTTCTTTGGAATTACCGGATACAACGTCATGGATTACAACAACAAACTGTACAATGCTGGATTCAAAATGGATCTTGTTTCGATCGTTTCCGAAAACACTATTTTCCATAAGTTCTCTACTGAATACCACTTCGACAGGGCTACAGTTGGCGATTACGAAGTTATGGTCAGAATTGAAGGCTTGGAAAAGCATTTGGCCGATTCATTGAAGATTGAAATCCACAACCCAACCGGATCTCTGTTCAAAATTGACGAATTCATGAAGGTCATCAAAGACATCCAAAACAACAAAGATTTCCATTTGAACATTGTCCTTTCAAAGAACAACCAATTCGTTATGGACTACAACTACAACTGCGATAACATTAAAGACATCTCCAAGTTCTTCAGTATGTGGGCCGATGAACAAACCAATTTGGTCAAACGATTAATCAATATCGATTATATGATTAGTACCACCATCTTCATGACATCCGATATTGGTTTCCCAATTGTCTTCCAAAAATACATTCCATCCGTCAAATACTTTGATTTCGAAATCACCAAGGAGAATGCCAACAAGTTGATTGCCTTCCACGTTGAGAGCACCATGAAAGTATGGACTTACTCAAGACGCGGCCTCTCCTTCTACAATCCAATCGCCGATGTTTGGCAAGGAGTCAACAAGTATTACGCTTTGGATGTTGCTTTCCCAACCCGTTTCGATTTGGTCTTCAACCCACAACAGAGAAGCTTGAAACTGTCTTGGAAGAGATTCGATAAGGCAGAGGACAATATTATCGGTCTCAAATCGCATGTTCAATCGATTGTATTCGTTAAGGATGACTTCGAAACTAAATTGTTGCAGAAATGCAGCCCGAAGAACCAAAACTTCGAAGTCGTTGGATTGCACATTGATGATTCTGTAAGTAATTTTATTCAACACTAATTGAATGTTAAATGAATAATGATTTTTTCATTTCCGCAGAAAGTCCTCAAGAAAGTTGATGACGTTAATACCGGCTACAAAACGATTGTCCAAACATTCGATTCTGACCGTCATATGGAAAACCTCCAATTCATTAATGCCAACAATTTATTGGATTTGATGGAATTTAACCATGAAACTATCGTAGGTCATTCAATTTCTATCTTCAAGCATTGGCTTGAAATAATGTTACTCCAACCGAGACCAGTCAAGAACGGCCTTCTGTACAAACTAGAGCCAAGTCTGGAATTCCCATACACCCAGAACGATCTTACAATCCGTTTGAATTCTGAATTTAAACAATGCGATACCGTTCTTAGGCCAGGAGCCAAATACAACTGGCGTGCCACTTATGTCCTCAAGAACAAAGAGAAGGCTGTCAGGACTTGGGACATGACCTTAGTCAGCGAAGCCAACACCGGACAAACATGGAGAGGACTTAAGATGCAAATCAGCCGTTTGATCCCTGGACAAAACAACTTCATGATTTGCTTGGATGGTTCGAAGAAATGGAAGAACGACAAAGTTGAATTAAGCTTAGACGTGGCCACTAGTCATTCCGAAGAAACCAAATGCAGCGACAGCGATGTCATTTTGAAAATTACCGGTGTCGGAGAGAAATCCGAGGAGCAAAAGTCTGGAAAACACCAGTACAAGCTCTGCGAGGAGCGTTTGTGGGCCGATGTGGAAGATCTGCAAAGCATGGAATGTTACGAAGCTTACACTTCTCTCAGGAAATACACATTCAACGTTAAAACTCATAACATACCGTCCGAATACTTGTCTGGTTTCTTGGCCAAGATTCACAATAACTATTACAAACCTTTGGTCGAATTTGAAAGGCCTAGCAAAGTAATTGAGAAGGGCACAACCGAGGTGATCCTCGAATTCCCAATGGGCAGCACCGACTCGTACATTACTGTACACAATGATAAATTCGATATTAATATGTTAGTACCCAAACAGTGGCACTTGTGGAACATGATCATGAGGCCAGATAACACCGAAGGATCCAGACTGTTGAAATCGATGTACCGTTTGGGTATGACCCATATATGCTTAATTGATGAATCTTCCCATGAGAACGAACACGATGAGTACGTTAAATACGAAATGCCGACCGAATGGACCATGTACATTGGAGATGAAGAAACTAGCTGCCATCACGGCGTCTTCACCAAGAGGATCGAGGGAACTGACAACATCGTAAGCCAAACTTAACACAACACATTGTTGATAAATAATACTAATATTTGTTTTTTTTTTATATAAATTCTTAGGCTGTAAAAGTTCTTCACAATTCGCACGTATTCGAAGTCTACCCCAAGGACGGACATTATGTCTTCAACATCGATGGAAAGGAGGTGTCTGACACCCAATATTCCTGTGAATGGGTGTACTATTTGTGGGCCAAGGAGAGCAACGTCGTCAACATCATGACCAGCCATTACGAATTCAACATGTTCTACGATGGAAGACATTTGGAAATTGTTATGCCAAAATTCAATACCAAATTCTACGGAAAATGTTTCGATAAAAGCCATTAATTACATTTAATCAATTCACGCAATTATCAATAATATTAATAATATATTTTTCTAATGCAAATTACATCTTTCGTTTGTCTTATAACATAATCCTTAATCCAATATTTGCTTAAAAGACGAAAGGTCCACTTTTCTTAATTTTAGTCTTATTTATGAAATCCACATAAGAATTAATCAAATTATCCATCTTGTACGCTTGCGGAGTTTCGCACAAGAATTTAGTTTTGGTCATGACGTTTCCAATGGTCAATTGGAAATAGGTGTTGCCCGAAGACCAATTGTTCAATTCGGAGAATTCGTATGTAATCAGTATGTCCTAAAATAAAATAGAAATTATAAATTGCACATTGAAGACAAACGATATGAATGATTTACCTTTGTTTGTGGATGCATAATGTTAACTCCGGTTTTGTTGATAACGAAGTATACAATGTCCGGATAACTGGGTTCCGATGTTTGTTTAACTTCGAAGAACGCCGATCCGAAAGTCGGCCAAGATTGAAGCACCTTGAGGAATTTCAGTTTAGCCTCTTCCACCGTCATGTTGCCACCTGCATTGAATGCGTTCGTTATTAGTTTACGCAGATCGCTCGAAGATTTAATCTTGTACACATCGGCCGGAACAATTTCTTTGAGAATTTTCGGAAGCGCTGCTAAAGCACCGAACGCATTGTTTTCGTATCTGACGTGAAGGATGTACGTTGCTAATTGCACGGCTTCTTGCACCGTGCACTTGTGGTAGCCTCTTAAGTATTTGGGAAGCTCTTGAGGATAGTGGAATATGTAATCGGCGACTGGATCCTTTCCTGGTACAGTGTTCATCCATACCGTCTTCATGAAGAAGATTTGGAAGGCGGCCTGCACTTGAGCCGCACTGTTCCACGTCGGTTTGCTCCTCTTCAACCATTCGAACAGTTCTTGCAAGAAGTCGTAAATGAAATAGTTGTCCGGAATTGTGAATACTTTATCGGACATCATCACAACCAGATTGAAGCCATCGGTTGAATTCAGTGCTAAACGTGAAGCAATAGCACTGCAAATATCTGACGCTTTGCTCATCGAGTCAACCTCCATAGCTTCATCGTTGTCGTCCGGCAAATAGATCTTGTGGTATATCTGCGTGGTTCGATGTTCAATAGCTTCAACCTCGACGAAGAACGGCGCTTTGATTCTTGGTCCGACCTTCTGGATCTTAGCCAATCTCTCTGTGCAAAGCGCAGCGACCGGGTGAGTGCGTGAATTCAAGAATTTATTGAGCTCAATTATGAGCGGAGGACTGCAGGCAAATAATCCTGTCACCAAGTACATCAAATCCCAGCCGCGCTCCTCGCTCAAATTGAACTTGTTGAAAGTCAGTTGCCTCATGATCTGGCAGTAAATTTCGTCCTTGAGCAGGTCGTGCTTCAGAGCGCCTTCGAAGATAATATCCGTATATTCACTGCTTATTTTAGGTTTAGGCGCGGGAAGATCTCCCATATATTTCATAATTGCCATGAAAGATTCTATGGCGTTCTTTGATAGTTCGTCGTGTTCGAATAGTTTCTCCAGTAACGGCTGTCTAATTGGAACGTTTGTGTACGTCCATAGTTCCTCCTTCGATGTTCTTCGAGCTGCAGTGAGAACGGAAGTCCTTGCAGTAGTGTGTTTTCGCACGTTCCTGAAATGATCGGCTGCGTAACTGGCTAGGGTGTACAATTTCAATCGCTGCATCGTTGCCATCACATTCTTGGTCATCTTTCTGTCGAAGATTCCTTCCTTCTTGAATGCAGATAGAATACTTGCTGGAGGTTTATGCAGAGTCGGTAAAATTTGAACTTGCTCCATCGGGAAGTCACCGACCTTTCCATTGAGTTCTCCGTAACCCCAACTGGCATTAGCAATGCTCTCACCGTTCAACCCGTTCTTCAGCACAATCAAATCACCTCGTTTAATAACCAGGAACGAGGGATTTTCGCTCGGATGCTTATAATCTTGTACGGCAACAACGTACACCGATCTCTTCTTCAAACCATCGATGATGTAAAGGATCAAATCGTGACATTGCTTCGCTTCTAAACTTTTGAATACGTACTCCTCTTTTCGAATAGTGTTAAGTGAGAATGTCGGGATGTTCGAATTGGTTTCGAAGCTGATGTACGAAATCTCCGAGAACATCAGTTCCATTAAGATTTGCTCCTGATCATCGATCATATAAATTCCCGTCCAGTTGATGGCCAAGATCATGTTGTTCTTGGGCAGCTCCGGTCCAGAAGTTTTGATGACCTCATAGAACTTGGAGAAGAGAATGGGCCACGTAAATTTAGCGTACTTGACGATATCCTCCTTAACAGAAATAGGAGATTTCTTATTCTTCACGCAACTGCTCTTGTTGAACGCTTCTACAATTTTCTTGTCCCAAGAGGAATCCTTCTGATACAAATTAGTGGGAATATAATCGCCGATTACTTTCATCAAGACCTTCTCGTTCATATTGATTCCGTGATCGATGTAGTATTTCTGAGCTGCAATTGCGGCGATATCTCCATTGGAGCAACGATACTCTCCGTGTTTGATGCCGTTCATAATTTGGCAGTAAATTAAGTCTGTCGCAACCGCGTCCGTTGTCGCATCGTGCCATGGCACGAAGATCTCCTTCCTGAAATACAGTTTCCACGGCACAGACTTTTCCGAAATGCCTTGATCCTTTGCGTGTTGCTCGCATTGCGAAATCGCATCCATAATATGCTCAGTGTCGCTTCCCAAAGACATGACTGTATCGCAAACAGTAATGAACAAAGAGAATCCAAAGTTATCCATCAGATTGAGACTAGTCGATATTTCCTTGCAGATTTCTTCCGCGGTCGTCGCAGAATCAACTTCATACTCTTCCGATTTTTTATCCATGAATGTAACCCTGACAACGATCGGTTCCTTCTTCTTAATGGAATGCAATTCCAACCAACTGGGAGGTTGCGTTCTATGACCATTCTTGAAAGTTCTATCCAAGCGTTCCTCGCAATACTGGGAAAACTCTTGAGGACCGCACCTGATGAATTGCTTTAGATATTTCAGAAAACGTTCGCTTGGCGCAAAGCAACCCACGCAGAGGGACATTAAAATCCATCCTTTGATAACTGAAGCGCTCGTCTGGTTGTCTGTCAGTTGCTTGCAGATTTGGCAGTAAATTTCATCCCTAAAATAATTAATTTCATAAAAAAAATGTTTCAAGACATATCTTATTTATACCTTAATTCGGGACGAAGGATTCCGTGACCGATGATAAAATGCAATTTTTCAAGGTACTTTCTGCGCTCCCTGTTCCACTTCGAGTAGCTATCATGAGCAAAGCTATCCTCGACTAAACCTTTTCTGACATCCTCCAATAATTTATCTTTCCTCTTCAGGGTCATTCGGATGTATTTCTGTCTGTCCGCTTTACTCATAGAAGCCTGAGCCTTCTCTTGCTTCAGAATCTCTTGGAATTCCTTACGATTGGTGAAGCTGCGACTCACCGTCTGATTGACCTGAGTCATTACGGATTCTTTTGTGGTTGGATCATATGCGGGTTCCGAGTAATCACCCATAAATCTGAGGATGGTAATCCAAAGCGCTTGAGCGGCAATAACATCGTCCGGAGTTGGAAGTACCTCGTGCAGGGATATCTTCAACTGCTTCTTGGAGTGTTTGTGGTTAATGGTGTAATGGAAGAAAGTCGATGCGTACTTTTGGAAGTTGTATTCGGATAAATCCTCGTCATATTTGATATCAGCCTTATCTCGCCTCGGCTGAAAATTAATAACACAGCCATTAATCACTGATGATAAATTGAACAATAAAAAAAGCGACTGTTTAGAATTAGATTTTATTTGCAGGGATATTTGAGGATGCTTACATAATTATTGAGTTATTATAAAATCTCTGCCTTCGATTCTTACCAGGAACTGTTTATTCTCTGTAGGTGTTTTCGCCGTTTCCGAATCGTCGAGGAATATGAACGCGTCGTCCACCAATTGCGTAGCTTGCAGATCCTCATTCGGTTCTTCCTTCAACTGGTACTCCAAATCCAATTCAGCCAAACGCTTCTGCATCGCCACTTCGGCAATCTGCTTGTAATTCTTGTTGCCGGACTTCTTCAGCTGCTTCTCCTCGACTCGTCTCAATCTGACAGCCTCGAAGATCTTGCCCAACTTACCTTTATGTCTGACCAAGTAACCCTTGGCAAGCACTTGCAGATTTACAATTCTCTTACGCATATTCTTGAAATCGAAAGTCAGCTGTCTGGAGCGAATTGTCGCTTTTATCCTGTAATATCCGTGTCGGATCTTCAAGAATCTCGAGCGCAAACCGCGCGCTCTCCAGTACTTCTGGATGATAATGGAAGCGGCTCTCAACTCAACAAATCTCTTTCTGCATATCCAACCGCGAACGGCCTTTTGAATCGTCAAGACGTACTTCATGATTACCTTCGATCGTTCGTCTTCAAGTCTGACGTTATCATGGTCTTTCAAGAACACTCTGGTGTGTCCAACCTGGAAATCCTCTCCATCTTTAAACACATCTTGACAAATTTGTTTGCTCGCGCTTTTACAATCCGTCTTATGGGATGGGCCGACGCCTTTGCTCAAGAATCTGAATCTGTTTACGAATTCGGTATGCGTATGTCTGATGGGATAACCGGCCTGTCTGATCTTTGCAGTTTCCATCATACCGGAATAACGCAGCTGCCTCGTGCACAACGCTCGGTCGAAAGTCTGTTAAATTCAAAAAGGAAATAATTAAAATGAAATATGCATAGTTTGAATATGTAATTGTATCTACCTTAGGTCTTTTGTATTCGTTGGGTTTGATGCATCTGACAAAGAACGGATGGCACTGATTTAAACTTTTCATGAGCACATCCAAAGACGTTCTGAATTGTGAGGAGAGCGTGAAATTTCTTTTAGTACCCGAGTCATCGCTGGAATCGCCTTGGAATAATTTTCTCAACAAGTCATTCTCGCTGAGCTTCAGCAGTTTCTTGAGATCCGCGCTAAAAGAATCTCGATTTTTCTCTAGAAATCCTGGTACATGATAATTAACGGATCCGGCGAAATGCTTGATGCCGAAAAGTGGTTCCAAATCTGACTTGGGTTTGATGTAGTTTGCGTTCTTGCTGTGGTTCGTGTGCATCTTGTCGAGCAACGTGAAATCGGTGCCTTTGGGAAACTTGGACTCGTCATCAATTAAACTCATTGCGTTCATCGACTTCATTCCGATCATGTCCAGTACGTCTTGGTTATCGATGTAAGATATGTTCTTCCAATCGATGCCTTCTGCTTTGTAATAATCTTGCTCCATTTTGAAGATGTGCTGGACGAAGAATTGTTGCAAATTCTCGTTTGCGTAGTTTATGCAGAGTTGCTCGAAGCTGTTCACGTTGAAATTCTCGAAACCGAAGATATCCAACACGCCGATCGAGTATTTCCGCTTCATCTTTGTTTGATCTATGGTCTCGTTGATTTTGTCGACCAGGAAAATGAACATTCTTCCGTAAATACCTTTAACGAATGCGTCTCTCGATTCAGACGCTTGTCCCTTGGACAACTCCTTGATGACGCTTTCGCCGCTGGCGAAGAACGTTCTTTTCGTCAAAGACGTATTCAAATCCTTGCTATCGATACCTAAAAGACCTGCGATTTTGTTGCACAGATTACCGTCAGATATCTGAGATGTTTCTATATTGGAAACGTTGACGCCTTTAAACTTGATGTTACCCAAATGGAGGATTGCCGCCAATATACTGAACATGCTGCTAACGTCTTCATCGCTGAAGTTGAGCACTTTCAGAGCGTTTCTAATATCAGCAAATTCTTTCGCTTCGTTTCGTCCTTCGCATTTCAACGTTTTTCCCTGGTTCAGGTAATTGTAATCGGAGGCGGAACCCAGGTCTAATTTTTTCTTTTCCTCTTTCGTCAGCCCATCGAGTAGACTGTAGAAAATGTGGTAATTTCTTTCGCCTTCATTCAAGTAAACTATTCTGCTCTTCTCTAACAAATATTGATCAATCTTTGCACCCTCGATGGCTCCTTCCCGATTGAAATTAATGTCTATGTATTTGCCGAAACGCGAGCTGTTGTCGTTCCTCACGGTTTTGGCGTTTCCAAACGCTTCTAGGATCGGATTTGCCTCCAGAATCTGCTGCTCGATCCACGAATGCTTTCCACTGACAGCGGCCAAATACTGCAGGATCAATTTCGTGCTCTCCGTCTTTCCAGCTCCACTCTCACCACTAAAATGAGTGTTAACAGTTTCGGAAATATATGATAAAAATTGTTGACGAACCTGATCACGATGCATTGATCTTTGTGCGTTTCCTTCATGCTTGAGTAACTGCTGTCGCCGATGGCAAAAATGTGTGGTGGTAAGTTACCTATAGGTTGGTTCCTGTATTCTTTGATTAAATTATTCGTGTAAATTGGCAAGATTTCGTAAGGATTTATCGCCACCAACATAGTTCCAGTGTATGTCTGAAAATACAAACGCATTACGGAGGCTGCTGACTAATCGTTGTGCAATCGAATTACATAAATCAATTTCTGTGAATATCGCATTTCCAGATTCCTCAAGATCGAACATTCCTGCAGATCTCCAAGATTTATCATATCTTCCACGCCCTTCACCGACGAAGGATGCATGGTTTTGACGAGCTGCTCCATCCCAACGAAGAACTCTGAATCGGATTCCGTTTTGATCCGAATCCTCTTCGCTTCAATAGCCAACACCTTTCCGCCCATGGGTATATCGAATTCCCCGTTGGACGGGGGATTCACCCAAATGTAATCGCCCTTCAATCAAAATTACCATTAACCAATACTCGATTTAAGATCTTCTAAACTTACCACCGAAAAGTTTTTGGACATTTTCGGGGCTTCTTCAATCCATTAATCAACGAAAATTTGGGAAACGCGACAAATTGTCCCGTCCTCGTAAACTCACTTATTTTGAATGCTTATTAGGACTTTCTCTACTATCGTCAATTAGTTATCGTGTTTATCTTATCAGGCATTAATAGAATTGATTTTTGTGTTCCGTTTGATATGTTATTAAATTTTATCTGGATTTACACATTCTTTACTTTGTACGAAATAGTTTATGTATAAAAAAGTATATCTATAATATTTAATAAAAAAGTTATATTTATTTATTGATTACTTTCAATAACAACAATATATTTCATTACTTAATTCATAACTAATTCCCCAGATTGCATTTTGATCGAAATTAGATTAAAGCGAGATTAATTTTATTTGCGTAATATTTCTATACAAAAAAGATACATTTTAGTCCAAAATGGGCCAACAAATATTGTTAAATAAAATGAGATAAATCTATATTAAAACCACAAGAAATATTAATATAATTATTAATATTTTAGGCAACCAAATACACACATTTTTGTAACTTTCTGAAATATATCTTATTGTATAGAAAAGACGCAGCTAAATATAGTAAGGCTCTCCCAGAAAGGGATGTATGAAATTCAAGAATCGAAATTACTTTACGTGGAAATCTTATATTTTATTTTGTAACAGTTACAAAAATATATATTTTTTTCAATTCAATATTCGAATTTCAAATGAACAAAACATTTTTGATTACATTTTCTCAAATTAACATTATATCATGTACATGTTCCATTACTTTGGTATTTATAATTTACCAAGGTAATGGTAAAAACTATCGTTTAATACTAGAATTAAAGTATGATGTTTGTGGTTTCTTCGCAGGCTTTCGTCAATTCATCGACGTAATAAACGATCTTATCAATAATCTCTTGGGCATCTTCACGATTAGGAATAATGCTCTTATCGACGCTCATAGATAACTTCAAGTTTCCCCCGTACGTGTAGATGATTATATGCAGACCTAAATAAAAGCAACATCGATTAAAACTTCGATTGCTATGAAGAATTTTAGGATTGTCGATGTACCTGTTCCGGGAGAATTTGGTGGACACAGAATGAACTCTTTGACGTCGTGTCCTTTGAAGAAGGTGAAGTAGTCACAGCCCGGAAGACTGCTGATTCCCACAGTGATCTGCAGTTTATAGGCCAACCATTTGGAGAATGGCCACGGAATCGAGCTGACGATATTCTGGGTTACCCAATAACTGAACTGAAATTAGTGATATTAATTAGCTTGTTTAAAAAAAAAATAAGGTAATTGAAATTACTTGAACGTCGAAGGCTTTTTTGATTGCGTCGTATTGCCGTTTAACTAAACGCAATCTCGTCAACAATTTATTTCCTGTCTCGCCGTCGATGTTGATCGGTAATCGGACGCCGCTGGCGGTGAATCTGTTCTGAAGAGTGAACTCTTGGCTTCCGTAAGTCATGTAGGAATTAGACGTTTCCGGCGATAGAACGATGCCTCCGATCACGTCTTTCGGCATCGGTTTACCAGATTTCTGGTAATGATCGTGTAAACTGGAGGCAAGGCAGGTGTTGATGATGTCGAGGAATGCGACACCGCTGAGAGTTTTCCTCAGCTTCTTGATCTTCTGCAAGTAAACGGGTTGCGATTCCGCGAACCAAACAAAATGTTTGCTTTCCACCAAATTGAGTCCCCTCAAGCAGTTATCGTCGAACTGCGTGAAAGGTAACTCTGCAATATGCACGTCCTTCATGAACTGCACTGCTCTACCCACATCGATCTTCCTGGACTCGACTTGCTGAATCGGTTTCTGCGGCGCTTTGATGGATCCGTTCTTGTTGTCGGCCAAAACGCCGCTGAATAAATGCAGAAGAGATTTCCCATCCGCCACGCAGTGATGGACACGATACATAATGGGAACGACCTTATTACCATCGACTTCGATCCTCTCTGGACACAAGAGAATTTGAAACAGAGCCCTGTCGTTCATTGGCATCGGCTTCTCGTCGTAAACGGAAAGCGTTTCAGAGAACTGCCGTTTGTTCATCACGCCAACTCCGGTATGTTTCATCACCGAAATCAGATCTTCCGGTTTCAAGTTGTACTTGTAGAAATAGTGGTAACCGAGGAAGGATGCGCGCAGGCAGAACAACCTCTGATGCTGCGTTTTCATCAGCTGACCGATTTGATCGTGCAGCAAAGTCTTCAGTTCGTCCAATTCTCCATCGAAATCGACCAAGGCCACGAGAAACGGATTGCAGTTAACGCAGATACAACTTATACTGTCGATGCCTTCCATTATTCCTAAGTAATCTTCTCCGTAGATGCGCTTCAAGATCCATTCGATTAGGCTTCTGTACAACACGAATATCGAGAAACCGATCAACGCCAAAGGTGCTATTATTACAGTCAGAAGACACGAGACGATAATTATTGCTTCCTTGTAATCTTTGATGAAGCTCAAACGCATCAACAACACCTGAAAATAAAACAATATTATTTTGATTTTGATTTCTTTGTTATTAATCGTCCTTGAAATTACCTTGATGAAAACGAACGTGTATATCGGCATGTGCAGCACCTCCATGATATCTCTCAGCCGTTGCTGAAAGGAAGAAAGACAGAATACGTAAGTAAATGGAATGAGGCGAGGAGATAAGTCGGAATGCGCGTTTTTTGTATTTATAGATTAAAAAAGAAATATAGAAACACAAGCCAAAACACAGTCAACATTGGTATTTCGGTAACAAAAAAGAAAAACAGCAACAGAAAAATAAATATCCATTGAGATCGGGAAAACGTTCCTCATTCATGATTCACAATTTACGTTAATGATGTAAGGAGATGCACTCACTAGATCACTTCGTCGCTGGCTATAACTTCGATTGCATTTGCGTTTTCCCTTGATTCGAACGCGTTATTTATTCGTATTTTTTTTTCAATTACTGTAACATCATTAGTACACGGTTATTTTTTGTTATCCTTTAAGCAAGTTTCAAGAACGGACTTTATTTTTATTTATCGTATCGTACGATAATCCGCGCGGAACACAAGAATCCTTTTAAAAAAAATTGTCGACATTTGTTGCAACAAACAAACAGCAACTTGGGTTTATTAAATAATAGATGATTTGCATAAAAAATATATAAATTGAAGTAAACAATGAAAGGGTGTTTGGTTTACTTGCAAACCAGAAATTGTACGCGAGACGCGCACTTGTCGAATGCCACCGATTCACGCAACTGCTGCTGGACTCAAGCAAAGTCACGAAAACCTAGGCTCTAAAATTAAACATTATTTAAATTTAGACATTTTTTATATATCATTTCGTCACCGTGTCCGTCCGTCCGTCCGTCGGTCCGCCGCGACGCATTGCATGAGGTAGAAGGTTGTTCTACCGAGATCATGGTTTTCCTTTTCTTTTCATTTTATTTATATCAACGCTTTCATTATGTAGCAATAATATATATATATAAAAAAAATGTTCATTTCCATTTGTTCGTGAATTTATTTGCAATTTTTATTAAGCAGTTTTATTTATAAATTATTGGGTCAGCGTAAATAATCGCGAAGATAATGGGAGCAACGGCATTTATATTATCCTGACGACGCGTCGCGGCTGTAAGTGACGAAATGAACCATGAACAGGGAGGTAATGATGGTCAAACTCCTGACAAGAAGTCGTCCACCCAACGCAAACCCAATCCAAGGAAGAACTGCAATTTGCTTTCGTCTCTATTTTTCCTGTAAGTTCCAAAACGAAACGAAACAATAAACAAATAGAAAACTTTAGCAATAAACATCACAGTAATTCATGTTAGTTTATACCGAAAGAAAAAATATATATTTTATTGAGTCGTAAATTAAACGGGATACTTTTATCAAGCTAACAAAATATTTTAACATTAAATTATTGCTTGTAATTTAATAGGAAATTTAATCACTTTGTTGCAATATCCATTAAATTAAGTTTTTATTGAATTTAGTACAAATTCACTATTACGACAATTCCATTTAGAATTTTAGAATAAATTCATATTGTTTCGAATGCAAATTAACAATTAATTAATTAACTGTAAAATTGAATAAAATAAACTGATTGTTTGAATAAATTGAAAATGATTTGGAGAATCAAAATTATGTTTAGAAAAGCTAAAAAAAACATTTAACATTAAATTATTGCTTGTAATTTAATAGGAAATTAATCACTTTGTTGCAATATCCATAAAATTAAGTTTTTATTTCATTTAATACAAATTCACTATTACGACAATTCCATTTAGAATTTTAGAATAAATTCATATTGTTTTCAATGCAAATTAACAATTAATTAATTAACTGTAAAATTGAATAAAATAAACGTTTGTGTTTGAATAAATTGAAAATGATTTGGAGAATCAAAATTATGTTTTGTGTTTACTAATATTTGTTTATTTAGGTATATGTTTCCGGTATTTTATTGTGGTTGGAAGAAGGGTATCGATGAGGAATCTCTGTACGAGCCACTGGACGAAGACAGGGCCGAAAACGTTGCGGAAAAGTTGGAGGCGGCTTGGATTCCGGCCAACAAAACAAACAGCAAATGGGCTCTGCATTTGGCACTGCTAAAAGTGTTTGGCTTCGATTTCATCGCCATCGGTTTCTTCAATTTCGTCAGGGAAATCGGATTAATGTAGATGATCAATTGACTTAATTGCAATACGGTTAATAGCTTTCAGATTTCAGCATCGTTTCCCCTTTGCTCATTGGAAAATTGGTTCTGTACTTCAGCAGGGATTTTAAAGATGTTAACGAGGCGTACATGTACTGCGGCATCCTCGCTTTGTTCCTGATCACGCACAAGGTGATGCTGCATCCTGCGATGTTCTGGTTTCATCATGTCGCCATGAAGATGAGAGTAGGCTGCAGCTCGTTGATGTACCGGAAAACGCTTCGTTTGGATGGAAGAACGTTCGAGAAATTCACCGTCGGTCAATTGGTGAATCTGCTTTCGAACGATGTCAGCAAATTCGATCAGAACTTCGTGTTCGCTCACAGCTGCTGGGTGACCCCGATCCAAACAGTCGTCGGCGCTTACCTAATATACAATAACATCGGCGTATCTGGTTTGATCGGGTTCGCGTTTCTCCTATTATCTTTCCCGCTGTTAGGTAACGAATAGATTCGTTGGGTTATCTAATTGCTGCATCAGTTACATAATGCATTTCAGTGTGGGTCGGTAAGAGAACATCGGTGCTGCGTTTGACCACGGCGATGACCACAGATAAACGAGTCAGGATAATGAACGAGCTTATCTCCGGGATGCAAGTGATTAAGATGTACACTTGGGAGAAGCCGTTCATCGATCTGATAACATCGATTCGGCAGCAAGTGGCCTTCAACTTACAAGCAAAAACACGCACTTATCAATTAATTCTATTTGCAGAAAAGAAATCCAAACTATTAGAAAGCAGAAATTCCTGCTGGGAGCTTCGTATTCCTGCGAGGTGTTCGTTTCCAGAGCTGCCATCTTCCTCAGCCTCATCTCTTATGTTTTCATGGGCCACTCGATTACCGCCGAGAAAGTTTTCGCCGTAACAACGATATACAACGTGATGAGATCCATGGCCACGGCAGAACTACCTTTCAGTATTACTGCAATCGCCGAGGTGCACATTTCCATCAAGAGGATTCAAGAGTTTTTGACCTACAGCGAGCTTCCAGTGCAAAAAACGAGCAGCTCCGATCCGAAAATCAAGCTGACTGGTGTAAGCGCGAAATGGTCCGAAGAGAGCGGCAAGAATCATTTGAGCAACATCAGCTTAGAAATCAGCAAACCGCAACTATTTTCTGTGATAGGCGCTGTAGGAAGCGGTAAAACTAGTTTATTAAACGTAATTTTGCAAGAGTTACCAATCCTTAGCGGAAAACTCGAGGTCTCTGGAACAGTTTCATACTGTTCACAGGATTGCTGGTTATTCTCAGGAAGCGTTAGACAGAACATAATTTTTTCAACGAAATACGAAGAGACGCGTTACAGGGAAGTCTGCAGGGTGTGCGCTTTAGAATCTGACTTCAATTTGCTTCCTTTCGGCGATAAGACTTTAGTTGGAGAGAAAGGAAAAAGTCTGAGCGGCGGACAAAAGGCTAGAATCAATTTGGCGCGTTGCGTCTACAAAAAAGCAGATATTTATTTACTAGATGATCCACTTTCCGCTGTTGATCCAAACGTTGGAAAGCAGATTTTCAACGAGTGCATCAAGAGATTCTTGAGAGATAAAATATGCGTTTTAGTTACGCATCAGATACAGTATTTGAAGGGAGATGGTAGAATTTTACTTTTACGCGAAGGCCTTTCTCAGAGCATCGGCACTTACGAGGAATTAGATTTGGATGAACCAGAAGAGATTGAAGTTCATAACGAGATTTTAGAGAGCATAAAACTGAATGAATTTATTGATGATGATCAAGTTTTGCAAGAAGAAAACCGAGGGAAAGGTGGAATCGAATGCAGCACTTATATCTCATACTTCAAATCAGGTGGAAATTATTTAACAGCTACAGTTTTGATCCTAGTTTTCATTTGCACTCAGGCAATTGCGAATTTCAACGATTTTTACATTAGCTTATGGTATTATTAACATTTCTTAAGAATATTTTCGCACTAAATATTCTTTTTAAGGGTTACCAAGGAAGAGATGAATTTCTTGAATCGATCATCGCTGATTGAGATGCGTCAGACGATAATTTACGAATACTCCGGAATAACGTTCTTCACCATCGTGATGGCCCTGACGCGCACCATATTTTTCTACCAATTCTTCGTGCAAGCCGCCAAGAATTTGCACCGCACCATCTTGCTAAGGTTAACGAATTCCGTGATGAACTTTTTCCACAGAAATCCCTCCGGTCGCATCCTGAATATATTCTCAAAAGATCTCGGAATCACCGACGAATACATTCCATCTTTGCTCTTCGACGTAATACAAATAACTTTGACACTATCCGGCAGTTTAATCATGTCCGCAATTGTAAACCCGTGGCTTTTGATACCATCCGTCGTACTTCTGCTAATCTTATTTACGATGCGAGTGGTCTATTTAAGGACCAGTATCAGCGTGAAAAGAGTGGAAAGCACCAGTGAGATTAATGGAAAGAGTTATTGTTGATTCGCTCGTTATTAAAATTGCGTTTTTTCAGCAAGAAGTCCTATTTTCAGTCACATAACTGCGTCGATGAATGGGCTGAGCACTATTAGGGCTTACGGAGCCGAAGATACTTTAATCAAGGAATTCGATAATTTCCAAGATAAGCACAGTTCGGCTTGGTTCATTTTCATTGCTTCGCAAAGGGCGTACGGATTGTGGGTGGATTTGATTTGCATAATATTCATAACAATCATCGTATTGATTTTAATTGTTATGGATGAAGGTTTTTTTTTTATTGGTTTTAGAGATTTACACGCATTGATTCGGTGAATTTCAGGTGTGAATGGTAGCGAGATGGGCTTAATTTTGTCGCAGTTTCTGTACTTGATTTCGATACTGCAATGGGGGATGCGGCAATGGAGCGAATTGGACAACCAGATGATTTCGGTAGAAAGGATTTTGGAGTACAGAAAGTTGGAGATCGAGAAGCTGAGGCCAGATATTGAAGTGCCTTTGGGATGGCCGAAGACGGGAAGGCTTAGGTTCAAGAATGTGCAGCTCAGCTACGGTTCGGATTCGAAACCTGTTCTTCGCGATATCAACTTGTTGATCAGAGCGGGCGAGAAAATTGGGATTGTCGGAAGGACGGGCGCGGGAAAGTCTTCGATAATCGTTGCTTTATTTCAGCTGTTTCCCATCGAAGGCGAAATCGAATTGGATTCGATCGAAAGCACAGTCGTCCCTTTGCAATTGCTGAGAAATAAAATATCGATTATACCGCAAGAGCCGATCCTGTTCTCGAGCTCGATGCGCCAGAATTTGGACCCTTTCGACGAGTATTCGGATGACGTGCTTTGGCACGCACTCGAGCAAGTGGAGCTCAAGAAAGTGGTGCAAGTTATGCCCTCCGGTTTATCCTCGATGATTTACGAGGGAGGAAGCAACTTCAGCGTGGGGCAGAGACAGCTCGTGTGCCTAGCGAGGGCGATCATAAGGAACAACAAAATATTGGTTTTGGATGAGGCCACGGCCAACGTCGATCCTCAAACGGATGCCCTCATTCAAGAGACTTTACGTTCAAAGTTCTCCGAGTGCACCGTTTTAACCATAGCGCACAGATTAAACACGGTTATGGATTCCGATAAGATTTTGGTGATGGATGCCGGAAGAATCGTGGAATTCGACGCCCCGTACGCCCTTTTGGAAAGACCTTTTGGCACGTTCAAAACAATGGTCGAAGCGACTGGCAATTCTTCTGCTAAAACTTTAAATAGCATAGCAAAGCAGGTGATATTTAGCAAAATAACTTAACTTAAAACGCGCTTATTTATTTATTTATTTTAGAAATACGAAGCCACGAACCGCAAAGAACATTGATTGAAAACAAATAAAATCGAACTTACATCCATGACTTTCATTTTCTCGTTCACACTTTCACTTTCAGCGTGACTACTTATTACATGATTCCAATACTGACTAAGGTCCAAGAGTTTCACTATACTATTTATCATATGCGATAAATCCATTTAATGATGATAATTTATTTGGACTTAGCCGCAATCTGTCCAAAGAGATTACGAGTCATTAACAGCGCTCCAGATAAACATCATCTCTATTTTTTTCTTCTTTTCTTCAAAATTAGACCAATACACAAATATTTTCCAAAAAATTTATAAATAAATAAAAAGCAATTACCACTAATTAATTTTTAATACGTTACCATTTGGAGAAAATCCATGATGTTTAGATACAAAATTGTTTACAAAATGCTTTATCTTATTATATAAACTTGGTTCTTATCAAAATTTAATTACTCAAAGTTTACTTGCCAAATTTCAATAATGACTTTTACAAAAATTGTCGTTATGCCCATGTTCATTTCATATCTGCTTCTTCGCAAGTACGACCCAACTCGTCCAGATAATAAATAGTTCGATCCACGATCTCCTGAGCTTTTTCCCAATCGCTGATCACACTTTTATTGATGGTTCCGGTGATGTGTAAGCCGCTTTTGAAGGTGTAAACGAGTATGTGGATGGCTGAAAAAGAATATTTCTAATTGAATTCGTCCGATTGAAATTTCTCTCACCGATTCCAGGAGATTTATCCGGTAAAATGATTAAATCCTTAACGTCGCCGTTTCCGAATAAAGTGAACTCGCTTGGGCCTTGAAAGTTCGTCAAACCGATAGTCACTTGAATCAGCGAAAGCAAAGTCTTCGTAATCCAATCCGGTAGCAAGTTTGTAGCAAACTTGGCTAACCAGAAACTGACCTAAATAATTACTTGATATTGATAAATTCGAGAAGGCAATTAAAGCCAAACCTCAATGTCCATAGTGTTTTGAATCATTTTGAACTGATGCTGCAGAAACTTGACGTTCTCGACCAAAGGATTATCTTGGAACTTTCCAATTGGGACTTTGATCATTACGGCCGATATGGAAGAGGTCATCGGTCCGATTTCTGGGATTTTAGTTGAGATCACGTGACCATTCGTAATCACATCGGGGATTGATGCTCCTACCTGAAATTGAATCTCACGAATTGTTTTCGTAAACAGTAATAAACAGATATTACCTTCTTGTAGTAATCGTGTAAACTGCGTCCTAAACAAGCACCGATTATGCTGCTCAGGTTAACATTTCCCATTTTTTTTCTAATATTCCTGAGAGTATTGAATCGTCTCGGATTTATTTCGTTGAAGTAAATATAATTTACCTCAATCCGGTTATTGTAACCACGTAAAACGTTCTTGTCGACATCAGTAAATGGAATAGACAATAGTTTACTATTAACTATAGTATCTAGAATGGTTGATGTTGGAACGTTCGTATTATTGGAAGGTTTTGGTTGTTCCGAGTTCTTCAACTCGCCAATTTGCTGCGAGACGAATTTGATGAAACATCCAGCATCACCTAAACAATGGTTAAACTTGAACGAGACAGCGTAAATATTCTTGTTGTTCGGCTCGTCATCAAAATAAATTGGATTTGTGCAGATATTCAGCGAAAACATGGCTCGACCATTATTTATGAACGGAGTTTTCCTCGTGTCCACGAGATGCTCGGACAACTGCTTTTTAGTGAGTCGTTCAGATCCTTCGAACGTGCATAACTGTACGAAACTGGACGCACTTGCTAGACCCTTATGGTAGTAATAGTAACCCATGAAGGTGTCTTGAAAATAAAACACTTTTTCGTACTTTGAGCGCATCGCTTCGTCGACAGCCTTGATTGCGGCCCTTTCCATTTCCTCAACAGTTCCAGCATATTCCAAGAACGCAACCAACTGAGGGCAGTTGTCGCAGATAATCAAACTCGTATCGATGCCACCCATCAGACCCACGTAGTTATCTTTGTAAACCATTTTAAGTAAGGCATCGATCAACGATCTAAACAGCATCCAAAAACCGAAAAACGTCACCGCAAACGGAGTCATCGAGATCGTCAAAAACAAAGCAATCAGTATATTGGAAACATCCTTGAATCCAAGTAACTTGCTCACGCATTCCTGCGAAAATAATTGTTGAAATCAAAAGAAGTAAACAGTATATTTCAATGTTACCTTTGTGAGAATGTAAAGGTATTTTGGAAATTCCAGCAAATCCATTGCACGATGTGCAAAAGCCGTTTACGTAATAAATTGCATAGCTATTCCTTATATAACATTAACAAATCCATTAACTTAAGCTATTAAACATGTTTGCTGCGAATCGATAGATAAATGCAATTTTCACCGAACATTGCAAGAAAATAAACAGTAATTAGAAACAAAGCTACAATTAGTTCATTAGTTTTATTGCATCTAATCGATATTGTCTTTTCCATTTTATTTTCAGTTTACAACGTAATTATTTCAAATTATTTTTTTTCTATTAATTATCGAAAATTAATGGAGATTTCGTGTAAAGTTGATAACCTAATAAATTACAAATTTAAAAAAATGTGATAATATAATTATATAATACCTGATTTTGAAGATCATAGTTGCGTCATCGCTCTTGAAAGTAGGTCTGATAAATAATGTATGAGGCGTAGAATAAACTGAAATTATTGAATTGTTATATTAAAATGTTGAATGTAAATAGTAAACTCACTTGTGAATGAAAAGCCATTTCACTATAGTTAGACCGGTCATCTTAGTACTTCAAGATATTGATGGACTTCATTTTTGAAACACAAACTGAGTAATTTCGATCGTTTTCTTTAAATGTCAGCAAATTGTCGTGAATACAATACAATATCAACTCACTTGTGAATTAAAAGCCATTTGAGTATTAGTCTCATCTTCTTAGTACTTGCACAAAGTAATTGACGGAAGAATCATTTAAATGTAATTGAACTGAGAAAATTGACTATGGGAAGAAATACTAAAATTTTTAAAAGAAACGTCATTGACGTAGCAATTTTGATCATTTTTCGATTGAAAATTTAGTTCTAATTATGTCCAACATTTCAAAAAATAGTTAGAAATAAAAATAATTATGTTATCTCTTATTGTTTTATGTTGTCGTTGCAGTGATTGAATGGTTTCATCTTTTGGTACGTAATAAACTATATTTTAACAATGATGTATATATTATATAAAGATTACATTGTATTACATTTAAAATTTTTCCATCTTTATCACGATTTGTTCATGAAGATCATCCAAATAGTTCATGGTTTCATCGAGAATCCGTTGGGTATGATCCAAATCGTTCACCAAGTATCTGTTCAAAGCCAAGGAAATCCTCAGACATTTCTCTTATTGTTTTATGTTGTCGTTGCAGTGATTGAATGGTTTCTTCTTTGGTACGTAAGAAACTATATTTTAACAATGATGTATTTATTATATAAAGATTACATTGTATTATATTTTAAATTTGTCCATCTTTATCACGATTTGTTCATGAAGATTATCCAAAGATGATCCAAATAGTTCATGGTTTCATCGAGTATCCGTTGGGTATGATCCAAATCGTTCACCAAGTTTCTGTTCAAAGCCAAAGAAATCCTCAGACATTTCTCTTATTGTTTTATGTTGTCGTTGCAGTGATGGAATGGTTTCATCTTTTGGTACGTAATAAACTATATTTTAACAATGATGTATTTATTATATAAAGATTACATTGTATAACATTTTAAATTTTTCCATCTTTATCACGATTTGTTCATGAAGATGATCCAAATAGTTCATGGTTTCATCGAGAATCCGTTGGGTATGATCCAAATCGTTCACCAAGTTTCTGTTCAAAGCCAAGGAAATCCTCAGACATTTCTCTTATTGTTTTATGTTGTCGTTGCAGTGATTGAATGGTTTCATCTTTTGGTACGTAATAAACTATGTTTTAACAATGATGTATTTATTATATAAAGATTACATTGTATTACATTTTAAATTTTTCCATCTTTATCACGATTTGTTCATGAAGATGATCCAAATAGTTCATGGTTTCATCGAGAATCCGTTGGGTATGATCCAAATCGTTCACCAAGTTTCTGTTCAAAGCCAAGGAAATCCTCAGACATTTCTTGTACGAGTATACCAAAAACTGCATTGGTTCACCGCCTGTAAAAGAAATCTACAAAATGTTAAACAACAATAATTATAATAAAAGTTATCAATATTTCTAACCCGACTCTGGGGGTTTGTCAGGGAAAATAATCAAATCCGAGACAGGACTTCCGTCTGGCATAACCAGCTGATCGCAACCCAAAAAATTGGAGACCACAGCGGAGAAACCTAAGAATTTCTGAGAAAAACGCAACACGGAAACAGGAAATAGATGAGATAGATTGTGTATAACCCAAAAAAGTAACTGAAAATTTCAAAAATTAAAATCGCTCTGGTTTGTTTAGTGTAAACGTACATCAGAATCGAACGATTCTAGAGCTGTTTTCGTCTCAACCTCTAAATACTCCAAGTTTCTTATTGGCGAATTACGATGAAGTCCGATTGGTAATTTAACAATTACTGCTCCGACTAAAATCCCGAAACTGTCCGACTTCATTGGTGGAGGAATGCTCATGGCTATCTTTAACGTCTTGGGAATTTCACCCGATCTCTACTTAACAAAGACTATTAGTTGAGAATAACAAAAGTTTGAAGAAGTTACCTTTCCGAAGTAATCGTACAAAGCGCAGCATAAGCAGCTGGACAATATATTGAAAAATTTGGCACTGTTCAACTTCTTCGAGATGCTTTTCACTTTCGACATTCGTATGGGTTCATCTTCAAAGTATCTACCAAAAACCAATTGATCCACAATTTTTGCACTTCCGAAACCGTTGTCCACCCGAATTCCAGGTAATTCCATGTTGTGCAACCTCCACGTTTTCGGTTTCGATACATTTGCCACGCTTTGCTCCACCTTTTGCCTTTCCAAGAAATTTCTTAACATTGTTATCATTGCGTTTCCATCGCAGCAACAATGATCAGAGATTAAATTAAGAGCGTAACGATTGCGTTTTTCGATCGGTTGCTTACAAAGGACTGCTTGGAATAGTGCACCATCTTCGACTAGGAATTTATTCTTCTGATACTTATGTAACTGTTTCCTATAAGCCATGTCGGTGAGAATGTCGCTCTCGTTACAATCATCCATCACCAAAATGTGATCGGACACCATCAAATTCTTCTTGTAGAAAAACGGGTAACCCAAAACACTTCCACGAAAGTAGAACAATCTTTCGAACTCTGACTGTTTGATCGCTTTGAGAAAATCCTCTACTAAAGTTCTGAAACTCTCGAAGGATTCGTCGTGTTCCACGTAGAGAATAGTCATCATGTGCATTTGACACATGTTAAAACTCGATTCTGTCCCATTCATCATTCCAACAAAATTCGATTTGTATCGAAGCCTTGGTATTAAAGAGATTATGAACCTGATCAGTAACAAGATCAGACATACTGGTAAAGAGATGATCGATACAATTGCTGTCAAAATTATAGCGATCGGCGTTCCATAACTGCCCAGATAATCGAACAAGAAGTTCTGAAAATTTGCAGAAATCATACAAATTGCTTTGTTAATATACAAACACAAATACCTTAAGAACAACGTAAACATATAGAGGTAAATGATGAATACCCATACTCGCAACTAAATGCTACAATTAAATCATCTTTTATAAAGCTTATATACTCAATAAAAATGTTAAGTAATTTATTGTGTTTATCAAATGCATAGTAATTATACAAATCAGAAATCACTTTGCATTAAAATTACTCAAAAAACATTAATTACATAGTTTTCTCTCAACGTGCGAACTAATGGTGTGGACAGTGAAAGAAATGTTCGAGCCAAAAAGTAAAATATTTATTGAAGAAACTATTTTAACTATTTCATAATAAAAAAATACTAATTATTTTGTTGTGAAATCACTAAGATGAATAGATTGCAATTAAATAGTTGTAGACAAATCCTGGATGTGTTTGATGACATTTAGACAGATTGTCTCGGATTCTTTCAATGTGGGAACGATGGTTTTGTCGATGGTGAACCCAAAACTCAGTCTGTTCTCGTACGTTGACAGCATCAAGGTAAAACCTGTGGTAATATTGATTAAAAATACTGTTTTTAAGCTAATTACTAAACATATACCGCTGTCCAATACGTTTTCGTCAAAAATTACGAACTCCTTGACGTCGCAACCGAAGAATTTTAGATGCTTGCATCCGGGGATGTTGCTGAGAATTAAAGAGGGTCCGGGTCGCAGGAGAGACGATTTAATCATTGAGAAAGTTAGGAAAGTGAAAACTTTCGTGCCGTTCCATCTGTTAAACTGGAAACAAATTAATTTTAATCGTAGGAAGATTTTTGGGTGTTTCGTTGTCTTACGAATAAATCCAACGATTTGTTTTTAACTATATCGTAAGCTTCGTGGACCAATTTCAAACGATGCAACAGATCTTTGTTTGAAGGCATCTTCAGCGGTAATTTGGTGAAACCTAACGTGAATTTATTGCTGCATTTGTAATCGACGTCGCCGTACTCATCGAATTTTCCGTTGGGAAGGGCGATGAACATTGCACTTATTTGCTTGGAATAATTAACGGTTTTCTAGAAAAAATTAAACAATATTACATGTTATCTCTAGGAGATTAAGTGAATCCTTGCCGTTTTAGCATAATCTTCCATTGAAGCCAATACGGCTGTTAATATTACATCAATAAAATTAACTTTTAACGATTTCTTTACGCTCTTTATGCACTGCAGAAGTTTGGCTTCTTTTTCGGTGTACCACACCAAAGTCTTGTTTCCTCCTATCGCTTCGCTGCAGAATATCCCGCCATCGCCTGGATCAAGGATTGGAAACGCTGTTATGAAATTGTCGCGACGATCAAAGCCTCTCAAAACCTGTTCCTTCTTCACGATGATCTAATTAAAATAATTGCTTTACATAAAAAGAAAAAGTTGTATGAATTATTCAATTAACCTTGTTGTTATTAAATTCTTTATTGAGAATATTGAAAAGCGTAACTGCATCACCGAAGCAATGATGGAACCGAAAAACTATAGGAAAAGTACCATCCTCCAATCGTTTGCTCCCAATCGAAATAGCCCATAAAGCCGTATTCCCAAAAGGAAACTCCTTCGTGGATAAAGTGCTGATTTCCGTTTGCAGTTCGCTCAAGTTGCTGCATTTCAATTGACTAACGAAGTCAGTTAATCGAAAAGTAGTCAACTTTTTGTAGTACCAATATCCCATGAACATGTTTTTACTCCAAGTGAGTTTTTCAATTTTAGAGAAGATCGCAAACATTCCTTCGGACATCATCGTGTAAAACTGATTACCGTTTTCTTCAGATTCCATTTGGAAGAGGACCGTGACGTGAGCCGGAGATTCGGGAGTGTCCACCATGAAAACCGTGTCGGTTCCATCGAAAATCTGGCAGAAATCGCTTCCCAATTTGCAGGTCAAAAGGACGTGCACAAAGAAACGATAAATTCGAAAAACCAGAAAAACTGCGTGCGTGAAGCAGAGGAAGATCGCCGTCAAGACGTAAAGACACGGCTCGGTCTTGATGAATGCTGGGCATAGTTTATGCTTATCCAAGTAATACTGAAAAAAATCACGAAATTCAATACGTAGATTAAATGATAATTTGCAATGATTGATTTACCTTCGTCAAGGCGTAGAGGTACAAAACGATCTTGGCGTGTCCATAGAGTAAATCTGAAACACGATTGAAATTAAGAAAAGTTTTATTATTTTCTTCTCATTCAAAAATGAACACTCACTGAGAACACGAATTTTCACTTTTTCCATCGCAACGCTCGCTGCCAGCAACAATTAATGAAGAATTGCAAATCGTATATATGTCAGCGAAATTATTGATGATTGCTATAGAATTTTCGAACTCTTATAAACTTTAATTTGTGGTCTACAACTAAGATTATTATCAACCTTTTTGTTCAGTAACTTTTAAATAACGATCACAAAGAACTTCATCAGGATCGACGTCACTTGATGACAAGAGAAGTGGAAGAACTTTGGACCGATAATTTCTTTTACTTTAATAAATAAAAATATTTTTTTAAATGTTGTTTTCTGTTCGAGAATAAATCAAGAAATGATTGAGAAATGTTTCAAAAGTAACAAATTTCTGATCTGGATGTTATTGCTTTTTTTAAACCAAAAATGAAATATATGCAACCAATACAACATTATTGATATACAATTTCAATCTGTGCAACAACTTGATAATAAAAACCTTATTTATATTTAACTTAACTTATTTTAATTTTGGCACAAGTAATGCAAAGTAATTTATATATTTATTTTAAAAATAATAGTTAGATTAGCAAAAATAACTTTTCTGGAAATAGTAGACCAATAATGAGTTTTTCATCAAAAATATCTAGCAACTAAGAAATAATAGGCTTATAAAGTATGGATAATTGCAAAACCCATTATTTGAATGGCAAATGAAGAAACGCTAGAGTAGGCATAGAAAGAATTCAATTACTATGGATGTTTTTTTTTTGTAAATATATTTATTTAAATAAAAAAGAATGAAATAACATTTAGAATTAATACTCGATAGTTTATTACAAAAAATATATGTATATATCGTTTAGAAATCTCGGTAATTTATATTGGTAAGTAGACTTTTCCTTGTTACGTTCGTTCTGACGTAATTGGTAAAAAAAAATATGAAGGCAATGACTCGACGAATCACATGTGCGTTTTTATATGTATAAAAAAAATGTTCAAGGCGGACATTCCTCTACTCCTCCATCATTCGACGACCTCATGCAAAACCAGCAGCAACAGCATTTTACCCTAAATTGTACATAAAAATTCAGATAATTAATATCACATTTCCCCTGTTCTCTCGCTCCCTCTTTCTCTCCGTATAATTTATATGTGTATGCATCGATTTGTTTCTGCAGCTCGATTCCTAAATCATTTTGATTTGGTCTCTTCGTGACTCTGAAAAAGAAGAAATAAGTTATTGCGTTTGTTGTTGGATTATGGGGTGTTGATTGTTAATACCTTCTCGGCAATGTTCCTAAGGTTTTTGGCAGCCGATGTTCCTGTAGTTTCGACCATATCCTTGAGGATGCCGCCATCCTTTTGCAGCAGGATGTAAGGATGGTTGAACTCGACCATTGTGCCGGCGTTCATCACGAGGATCTTGTTCGAATCCATGACCGTGTGCAATCTGTGCGCTATTGTGAGCACGGTGCAGTCGGCGAACTTCTTTCTGATCGTTTTCTGAATGAGCGAATCGGTGTGAGGGTCGACATTGGCAGTGGCCTCGTCCAAAACGAGGATTCTATTGTTCCTAATTATAGCCCTGGCGAGACACACCAGCTGACGCTGGCCGACGCTGAAATTCGTGCCACCTTCCGAGATGTTCGTGCTCAGACTGGAAGGCATTTCGGCGATGACCTCTTTGAGTTCCACCTGCTCCAGAGCGTCCCACAGGATGTTATCGGGATATTCGTCGAACGGATCCAGATTCTTCCTCATCGTTCCGGAAAATAGAACGGGTTCTTGCGGGATTATAGCTATTTTTGAACGCAACGTGTCTAATGGTAACGCGGTGGTATCAACGTCGTCGATCAAGATCGATCCTTCCACCGGGTAAAGCTGGAACAGTGCCACGATAATCGAGGACTTTCCGGCGCCCGTTCTTCCGACAATTCCAATTTTCTCTCCCGGATTGATCGTGAACGATAGATCTTTCAATACAGGCGCATCTTCCGGATTGTACCTCATGCTGAGATTTTTAAAGGTCAACTTTCCATGCCTCGGCCAATTATCCGGCAAAGCTTTGGATTCCCTCTCCGGCTCATTCTCCAATTTCGTGTAATCCAAAATCCTCTCCACCGACGTCATTTGATTCTCCAGCTCGCTCCACTGTCTCATCCCCCATTGCAGCGAACCCATTAATCCCATGTACTGGGTTATAATCAGACCCATATCTCCTCCATGCATATCTTTGTTCAGCAGCAGAAGAGTCATAATAATCAACGAAATGAATATAATGCAGATCATATCCAGCCAGAATCCGAACGCCCTCGTCGATGCTATGAACAGGTACCAAGCCGAACTGTGCAGATCTTGAAACTGGTCAAATTCTCTAATCAGAATTTTTTCGGCGTTGAATGCTCTGATCGTGCTCAATCCGTGCATAGAGGCAGTCATCTGTCCGAAGATCGGACTTCTCGTGACTCCCTCAATTCTCTTCACACTCCTGCTCGTCTTCAAATACACGACTCTCATAAAGTAGAAGAGCGTCATCAAAACTATAGCGGGTAACAAAAGCCAAGGATTCACTATAGAGGTAAGCACTATCGTACCGATTAAAAGAAGTCCAACTTCAAGCACGTCGAACAGAACGAGCGGAATGTATTCGTCGATGATGCCGAGATCTTTGGAGAATCTGTTCAGGATCCTCCCAGTCGGATTCGTGTTGAAGAATTTCATGGTGGCTTGCAGAAGCTGCGAGAAGATGTTGTCGTGCAGATGGATGGAGGCGTGCATGAAGAATATAAAGAAGAAAATGCAGTGGAAGACCGCTAAAATTATTGTCGCTATCATCACAGCCGAATACTCGTAAATCACTTGGTAACGAATGGATATTTCCTTCTCGGGGCTTAATTGAGTGTAATTCTTCTCCGACATATCCTGCTCCGTGTTGACCCTGCAAATTAAGTAATTAATAAGTTTCATGTATGCTAAAGATGTGGAAGTATTTACCAGTAAGTTATGTAATAGTCGCTGGCATTGGAGCAGGCTTGAGAGAAAATGAAGCTGGCAATTAAAAAGGTCACGAGGAAGTAATTTCCTCCGGCGCGGAAGTACGATGAGTAAGTGTCGAAGGTGATGCTTCCGCTTCCCATTTTCTCCTTTTCAACGCTCGGACCCTCGTCATCGCTTTCGCTATCTTCGTCTGCCTCCTCCAAAGTAACCTCGGATGCTTCAGAGTTCTGACGAGATTTCACCCGTTTCTTCTCGACGTTCTCATCGTCCTGGAACTCCTCGAGTAGCTTCGCGAAATCCAAACCGCTCGATTGAAGCTCCTTGTAAGTCCCTTGACCACCAACGTTTCCTTCTTTCAATATTAGAATCCGATCGGCGTTCTTCAAATACTGCAGCTGATGCGTGATCAGAATGCAGATCTTATTGCTCAGATAACCCTTGATGCACTCCTTGTACAGCTGCTTTCCGACGTTCGCGTCGACCGCGGAAAGAGGATCATCCAGTAGGTAAATATCGGCCTTTTTGTAAACGCACCTGGCCAAGTTAACGCGCGCTTTTTGCCCTCCACTTAGGGCCTTACCCTTCTCACCGACCAAAGTCTTATCCCCGTAAGGCAACAAGTCAAAATCTGACTCTAAGGCACACACTTTGCAAACATGCTTGTATCTCTCCTCGTCCATCTCCTCCCCGAACAGTATGTTCTGTCGCACGCTACCAGAGAACAACCAAGGTTCTTGAGCGCTAAACGAAATTCGCCCTGACAGATCCATCACTCCCTCGCTAACAGGCAATTCCTTAAGTATAACATTCAGCAAGCTGCTTTTACCGCTCCCCACAGGCCCAATAACAGCGAACAGCTGACTCTGCCTGATTTCGACGTTCAGGTCCTTCAGGTTGTATTCAGCCGATTCTTGTTCCCATTTCGCGCTCACGTTCTTGAGAAGAACGTGCGGAGTAGTCTTAATGTTCGCATTGCCATTGAGCACCACGTTAGGTGGAACGACATTCCTCTCCGGTAGCTCCTCGTAGCTCAAGAACTTCTGCATCCTCTTTATTGACACGTTCACCTCCGCATTCGAAGAAATACTTATAGAAAATAGGAAAGTAATCACAGTTCTCATCACATTGTAGATGGACGTGATAGCAAAAACCCTCTCCGCGTCGATGCTATCCCCCATCATTACGTAGGCTATTAAACTAATGAAGATCGCGGCGCGAGACACGAACGTCTCGAAGGAATAGGTTAACCCAATCAAGTACTTGTGCTGTCGGATCGATTGGATCTCTTTCCTGAAACAAGAAACATCAATCGATGATAAATAAGGTCGCGCAAATTGAATTCATCGCTCACTTTCTAATTAAGGAAACTAATTTGGCGAAGGGCTTCTCCCACGTATACATCTTGATCACTTGAATACCAGATATGATTTCGTTCATCAGCCTCACGCGTTCGTCCGTCCTCAGCGCAGTTCTCAATCTAAGCACCGAAGTCCTTTTACCCAACCACACTGAAAAATAATAATAAAATCAAATAAACTATACATTACATTAAATTGATTGAATAAACTTACTTTGAAGTGGCAAAAACATCAAGAGAAAAGCGACTCCTAGAAACGCGGCTACATTGATTTGCTTATACAGGAAATATGTACCAACGGCCGTTTGGATGGGTGCTATCCAGCAGAAATGGGCCAACACGAAACCCTGATCGAATTTGCTCACATCGTTCGAAAGTAAATTGACTAATTGACCAACCGTAGTTTTCCCGAGAGCTCCCCTGCTCAATCTCAGCGTCTTTCTGTAGATCAAAGTGCTGCAAGAGATCCTCAGCTTCATAGCCACGTGCATGATCCACATCATCGTCGGATGAGTGATCAGTCTGTCCACTACCAAGCACAGGATGAGCAGACCGCCGTAAACATAAGCCTCATCGTCCGACATCACGACCTGTCCTTTGGCGAAGAACGACACCAATTTGCCGATCAAAATTGGAGTGAAAATACTGAAATCAGATTGCAAAATCTGAATGATCGAACGAACCCAAATTATAATTTACGACTTACATCATGCCAACTTCTTTGATGAGCGTCAGCACGCCGATCGTCATGAATTCGAGACCGAAAACTCTGAAGAGCGCTATGTGCAGCGCCCATTTCTTGTGCTTCCTATGCTGCTTCTTCCATTCCGTCTCCAATTTATCCCCGACTACGTTAGACCTGTGCTCTTCCAGCGGCTCGAACAGATCCTCCTCTTTAAGTCCGTACTTCCAGCTCGACCAGAAAATAGGGAACATATAGCTAAAATAAAACAAACAGCGATTATTTAGACACCATTATCCTCTCCAGGGAAATACTCTCATCAACGTGTTTGCACTTCTAACCAGTACAAACCGGTGTGTTATTAAACACTCGACGCTACATTCTGATTAATCGACGATAAAATCGAGCAACAAAGCTAATGAAAATCAATATACTCCTGCAGTTAATTAAAACCGACCACGAACGGAAATTTTTTATTCTTCTTCTCTCGCTCTCTTTTTCCAAATGATACAAACAATAAACATTTGGTATTTAACAAGATTCCATTTCTTTTCCCACTGATAAATTCCACATTGTTTATATTTACAATCGACTTCAATTACAAGGTCTACAACTGGCGATGAATGCGATCCGTAAATTACAAATAAAAAAAAATACGTATTATATACAAGCAAACAAACGTAATGGTTGATAACATCAGAACATGAAAAGAAGGAAAAACATCTGCTCCAATAAATTCACTCCCTGCAGATAACATTTTGGAACACGTTTATTGCACGACTTAACTTGTCAGTGATATAACATTAATCACTAATTTAACATTAAAACTTATATTCTGATGAAAAAAAGGATTACATCAAATTAATTGAGTGCAATCCGAGTAAAAATGACCTTCGAAACGTAGGAAGTGCATATTCGCACATTGTTTTAGATATCTCGTTATAAAAAAATGATAGTTCAAGGCTAGAGAATAGCTCGATTTTCTCAAAAAATAAAGTTATATAAACTTGTTTATGATATAAATCTTATGTATTACTTAGAAATAGTAAAATTACATGAAAACCAAACATAATTTAACTTTTATTAGTTTTTTTAAGAAAAATCCTGAGGTGCAAATAAAATAAACTTCATTTGGAATTGAAGTATTTTTATATTTCAATCGGTGCGAACATTTATCAAGTGAAATCATTCTTCCGCAATAAATAAACGTGATAATCACATGGTTTGAATTGCTTATTCGACTAGTCTGAGAGAAGTTTTCTGAATTTTCGTACGATAAAAGTCAACAATATAATACTTTACAAACTATTACTATTCAAAAATTTCAATTTTTTTTTTACGTTTTCTTATTGTTATCGCAAAACTCAGTTAATTTATGGAATCAGACTGAACTTGTAACACTCGACTATGAACGGAATTTACCATGAGCTGTTGCAAAGATTAGTACTGTTAAACATGATCCGTTCAAAAGTTTTCGAAATGTTGCGTAACAATTGACAAGAATTTAATTTAAACTACTGTGATCATCGAAACTATGTGAGAGAATTAATACACGTTTCTTTTTTTCTTTTCCGGGAAGTGATTCGAACGAGAGACCTTGAACCATTGGATTTTAAACTTGCGCGTATTGCACAATAAATATAAAAATAATGTAGCAATATCTCTTTGTTCATCTTGTGTAGTAATGTTTGCAAAGAGTTTCACTGGGAAAAGAAGTCAATGGAACGGTGGAAATTTTGTTGTCGAGGTCATACCGTGCACGGAGAAAATCGATAGCGCAGGTGGCTTTGTGTTCTTTTCGTTTTCGTTTGTTTTATTTTCTCTTCATCGGGATAAGGTAAATTTATAAAAAAAAAATAATTGTTGTTGTTGTTAACTTACAAGAAGAGCATCGAAGATATGAAGTTGGCACCATGCCTGGGGTTCTTGTTCCGCTTCACGCGCTTTTCCACGTCCATCTCTACGCTTTGGCAAATTCAATTGTAGACAGAAAGTAAAGATTTCGCTATGCGAATTTTCAAATCGAATAAAGGCACTGGTTTTAGTTTAATTTTGTTTTTAGGCGATGATGATGCTTGTGTAACGACGAGTTACAAGTATAAATAGTAAGTAATATATCGGCGCACTTTCACTACGAACACAATATCATATTTAAGGTTTGGTTTGCCGCACCGAGTCTCGGAGGCGCCTCGTCGAGGACGAGTTCCGCGTTCAACTGAAGTGCGCTGAATGCGTGTATGCAGGCAGCAGCAGTCTCGGATCTCTCGTTGAATACCGACGGCGGCTGGATGTGCCCGCTTCGGTCCCTGAACTAGCCTTTTGTATATATTCATGGAATCTGTTTACGTAACTGCCTTTTATTGCCTACTCTCTTACCCACACTCCTTTTTTCGCATCGCTTTTCAACTCTCTCTTTTTCGCAAAAATCTCTCTCTTTATTTCTCTCTTTCTCTCTCTCTCTCTATGCATTCATGTAATTTTCGTGGGGGGAAAAAAGACTTAATTTCGTGTCGACCGATCGATGCTTTTGGTCCCCCCCGCAATCTACCAACAAAGCCCGATCCGCGGATTATCTTGCCTTATCACCGCTTCAACAGTAAACACAGATTACTCATTTTCCGTTTCACTCGAAACCGCTGTGAACTCATTCAATACAATTATTATTATTATAAAGAAACAAAGAAAACACCTAACTTTTCAAGTTTTCCCCAACATACATTTCCACCATTAATCAACAGCTGCGACCTACATGTTTCCTTTATCTTTACAACTAAATTAACTAATTGCGCAAATTACGATACAATTCACAATTTCAATACAATGACACCTGTCAATCGCATAAACATTGTGAGCTGTCAACGATTTTGAATTGAATTTATTACATCATAAATTTGCTATTACTTTTGTATATTTAATTACTTTACTAATTACATGTATTTTCTTTACCTTTACAAATAAACCAACATAATTAAATAATTACATACATTACGAAATCACTCGCAATTTCAATACGTTGACACCTGTCAACCACAAAACTGTTATGAGTTGTCAACGAGTTTTGAATTTAATTTATTAAATGATGCAAATCGGTGACAATCGCAAGCCCGACAACCGAAATCCTGTCTATCGAAATCCCGATGTTCAAAATCCCGACAACCGAAATCCCGACTATGTCAAAATCCCGACTACCATAATCCCGACAATCAAAATCCCGACTGCGTCTTTTATTATTATAAATATCTACAATATCATTTTTATTTTAGTCGGGATTTCGATATAGTCGGGATTTTGATTGTCGGGATTACGGTAGACCAGATGCAAATATACACATCATGTATTTTCTATTTTTTTTTGGATATTTAAATAGTTTACTTATTACATACATTTCCTTAATCTTTACAAATAAACCAGCACAACTAATTAATTGAATAATCTACAAAAGAACTCACAATTTCAATAAATTGACAGCTGTCAATGAGTTGTCAACGAATTATTAATTTTATGTAATTACATCATATTTTAATAGTTATTATTATATTGCTATTACTTTTGTATATTTAAATACTTTACTAATTACATGTATTTCCTTTACCTTTACGAATAAACCAACATAATTAAATAATTACATACATTACGAAATCACTCACAATTTCAATACGTTGACACCTGTCAACCACAAAACTGTTATGAGTTGTCAACGTGTTTTGAATTTAATTTATCAAATGATGCAAATCGGTGGCAATCGCAAGCCCGATGTCTATCGAAATCCCGATGTTCAAAATCCCGACAACCGAAACCACGACTATGTCAAAATCCCGACTACCATAATCCCGACAATCAAAATCCCGACTGCGACTTTTATTATTATAAATATCTACAATATCATTTTTATTTTAGTCGGGATTTCGATATAGTCGGGATTTTGATTGTCGGGATTATGGTAGACCAGATGCAAATATACACATCATGTATTTTCTATTTTTTTTTTTGATATTTAAATAGTTTACTTATTACATACATTTGCTTAATCTTTACAAATAAACCAGCTCAACTAATTAATTGAACAATCCACAAAATAACCCACAACTTCAATAAATTGACAGCTGTCAATGAGTTGTCAACGAATTATTAATTTTATGTAATTATGTAATGTAATTACATCATATTTTAATAGTTATTATTATATTACAGTGAATTGATTGAAAAACAAAATGAATTGTAATCAGGTTCAACGACCCTGAAATAATTTTGTCATGTAACACTGCAATCATCATAAGAATTAGTTAAATTTTAGTCAATTAACTCTTTATGGATTCATATTGAAACATCTGTCAATTTAATCAATAATATTACGATGAAATAAATTGATAAATAAAATTCCATTTGTGTGTTGCAAATTTAAATGTCCATTCAACTCTCAATGACACTCCATTATAATACATTTGTATCACTTAACTTATTCCAATATAATCCAAGATAATATTCAAATTGCAGTTGAAGTTAACTAGTTCAAATTTTCTGCATTTAAATGTTGTTACTAAAAGATTGCAAAGTCATTTCCAATTGTCCGATATCTGCGCTCTCGGCGCAACTGCGAATACCCAAGGATATGCAAATGTGAAACACATTTGTAACGGGAATTCCCTTAATGTGTTTAGGAAATACTCGTAGCGCACACACGAATATTTCATACACGCCGTTTCCATTCAAACTGGTTTTCGAGATCTCGCCGTCAATTATAAACGAATAATCTTACGTAACACGTTTTAAAAACGTTCTAACGTTTAACAAATCAATCAAATGGGAAGAATTATCTGTTATAAATTCATTATTTTGTACAAATGTAAATCGTTTTGGATCATTTCATTGTACGAATTAATTGTTAAGTATTTCGAATACTCGCGGTCGTTGGGAATTTCCATTTCACGTGACTCACACAAAATGAATACTGGTTAAACAACAAAAGTTTACATTGAACTGTTTTGTTCATCAATCATATGAAGATATCTATTTTACAATAAATTTTTATTTGAAATAAATTTAGATAATAAAAAGCTTTCTAGAGATTTACTAGTACCGCACGTTAAATTATGAAGTACGTAATAAAAACGTGCTCGGAACGTAGCAAGAACAAAAAAGTGCGGTTTTAAAATAACTTGGAACTGTTCCATGTACAAATTATGCACATTATTTAGATTTCCTTTTTGTCCCACAACAAAATTGTGAAAACTAATCCGCAGGATCGTTGCAGGCAGATTTTCGTACAGAAATACAATTGAAAACACCGCAAAAGGATTACTACTTCTTAAAAGAAAAAAGAAGATTTCAGGTTGAAATGAAGATTAGTACTTCTTCAAATTAAGCTTCGTTCTTCTTTATTATTCTTAATACACAAGAGAAACTAACTAAGATTTTTATCTTCCAAAGAAACTGTGAGAAGAAGAAATAAGCACGAATTTGCGTAGAAACAGAGAGAATCCTTGAATATTGAGCGCGATGATGTCGATTTGTTTTTTTCACAATCCTCGCCTTGAAGGAAGAGCGAATTAAATCGGCGAGTCGAAAATTGTATTATAAGTATAGTGGAACCTCAATTAACGAGCACCTCGCACAACGAGTATTTCGCTTAACGAGCAAAATTAATTGTAAGAAAAATGACTCGCTTAACGAGCGACGTTTCGCATAACGAGTGACGATGAGAAGAGAAGCTCCGAATTGTATTTCTGAATATGTTTCACCGAAAATTTTTGAACGGATTAAACTTGTTAAGCGTGGTTCCACTGTATATAATAACGTAATGTTTCACAACGTGTTTATTTTGATGATTATCCTTAGTATAGAAGGGAGATAACGATCTAATTCTAATCTATTTCATTTACTTTTTTTTATAGGTCGAAGCAAAAATTAAAGTTTTCAATTGCAATATGATGCAATTCGACGAAAATTTGTAAATTCCTGTAATCTCCGTTGCCTCCTCGCGTTTATTACATCAACTTGAATAAACAAATATTATTATAATTTTTAAGATTATAATTTTATTAAAAATAATTCAACAAAAAATTAAACTTCTGTAACATTTAATTGAATTTCTTCAATAATTAAAGCTTTCACCATTTCTACTCAATGTTTTGTTTAATACTTGTTAAAAAAAATATATATTTTTATATTTTACTATATGTTTTGGAAATTTTTGAATTGTAGATTAATTATTCAAAGATTATTTACAATTTGCATACATAAAGTTATAATTAACGTAATTGCTTCTACACTGTTGACCGTTTAAATACGATATTAATCTGTGAACAAATATATTTTACGTATATTTCTAGAAAACTTTTTTATAAGAAAACTTGAATTTTCATCTAAACTTTTATCAAATTCTATGAGATTCTATTTTTAAATATATTTTATTAAAACTATGAAATTAAATATATAAAGTAAAAATACTCTTGAAATAGTTATAAAAATAATATTAATAAAAATTTATTTGTAATTGAAATATTTTTGTTGGAGATGAAATATTTGTGTTTTAGAATATTTCTAGAAAATTAAGACAGATAGGTTAATCTTTGGATGTAGAGACTAAAGCTATGTAAATAGAGATTAAAATGTACAATTCATCATTTTTGTGTAATTAATGAATTTAAAAAAAAAATAGAATTGAAGCAAAAAAAAGTTTTGTATCTCAAGAGATCACAGTAAATTTTTATTAAAAGTAGAAATATATTAACTTAATATGTTAAGTACAGTGGAATTTCACTTAACGAGTTTAAACCGTTCCAAAATTTCGGGATTTTTACTATTATAGTGAAACATATTAAAAAATACACATAAGTTTTAAAAATGATGTAGAAGGCGCGCAATCCTCGCTCGTTAAGCGAGGTTCCACTGTATTTTAATTTAGTTTTTATGTTATATTTTTCTACCCAATAATTATTAATATAATAATAATTATAAATGAGTTTCTTAAAAATAAAAAAAAAAATGAGTACACGTCGCCCAATTGACCGTCGCCTACTTGTCCATCCTCGAGCTGCCCGTTTCTATGAACTATCAATTCGGGAAAATCATAAACATCAATTTCCTGATATCAGGTAAAAGAAAATTTTTGTAGTTAGAAAACTTTTATTACTCTAATTCTTGGAAAGTGAAATTTGGTACATATATAAACTGCGTTTCAGCAATTCTCAAATCAGTTACTTTTCATGCACAGTCGTGTAAACATCAACTGACAAATCAACATGTCTTCCGCATTCAAAATTTCCATGCCTCAGACGGTCTCCGAGCTGGAGTTTTTGAATTCATACACTCCACCAATGTCTAAGGAATATGGAATTTTTACAGGTAAGAATATGGATTTTACATTAATCAAGAAGAATCTGGTGAAAGCGCAAAGTGTCGAAGTGCAAAATTTGGTGCAAGAAGTGATCAGTATGAAGAAACTGCGGGAACCTTCTGCAGAGGGTATGGAAGCTTTGGTGGAAGCTATTTGCAAGGTGCTGCAGAAATTGCATAAAATCAAAAAGTGGTCAGCGAATTGGAACCTTGTCTTGATACATTTAGCTTGCTGCAAAATGGATGCAGATAACAGAAATGAGTGGAACTCGTTCTCCGGGGATTCACCAACTTTTGTACAGTTCTTGCATTTTTTGGAGAAACGCATGAATATGAGATTGTACATTCCATCGACTTCAAGTCAAAATGGATTATTTTCTGGGAAGTATATCGATTACACATTGATCAGGATTAATGTGCTCAACGCGCAAAGCATACATGTGCGAAATTTGGTGCAAGAAGCGATCATTTTGAAGAGATTGAATGAACCTTCTGAAGATGGTCTAAAGACTTTGGTGGATGCAATTGTCAAGGTGATGCTGGAATTGAACAACATCCAAAAGTTTACACCAGATTGGGAAATAATTTTAATGCATTTAGCTTGCTGCAAAATGGATGCAATTACCATAAGAAATTGGAATTTGTGCCGCGGTAGCACGCCAGATTTACCTACGCTTTTGGAATTTCTGAACAAATGTATTTCCTTTTTTGATAATTCCCATATCTATTAACAACAAGAATGAAAAAGTGTTATTAGTTATTAATGTTTAAAGTTTTTTTCTTCTGCTTTTTCTTTTAAATAAATAACCAATAATTACAATCAAATATTATTTGTGTCTTATTTCTATTTTTTACCAGTATTATCTACATAAATTAACCTTATTACTCGTTATGCGAGTCATTTTTCTTATAATTAATTTTGCTCGTTAAGCGACTGTACATGTTTTCGATAATTTTTGATGTAGCAAATGTAAAAAAAAAATATTAGTTTTATAAGAGATTTGAAAAAAAAAAATTACTAATCTGTTTATTTCTTGAAAAGTAAGAAATATTTTTAAATAATCTTGAAAGGTAATTGTGGATTTTGAAAAACACATCTTCATTTTCAGCTTTGAGTATTAAAATTACAGATTTAAGTAAGAATTATTAAGTAGAATCAAAAGTTTGAAAAATAAAAAGGAAATTGTATGTATTTCTTGAAAACCTAAGAAATATTATAGAAAAAAAAACAACTTAAAAGATATAAGACAAATTCGATAGTAAACAATATTTTATAGTAATACAATAATATGTTTGATTTATATCGATTAAATCGTTTATATGATTTTCTCATGTTATCAATAATGATGGAATTCATTGAAATTTAATGAATTCGTAAATCTCGTTGTTATTTTATTTAAATTTATTTGTAACTTATTCTGTTCAACAAAACATAATATTTTCCTATCATTTTTTTCCAATTATTAATTTTCGTTGGATTGAGAAGAAATATACAATTTTTTTGAAAAAAACGTTTTACAAAATTATGAGTTTTTTAAATTTATAGTAAATTTTCAACTTTTAGATATTAAAACTAAAGATTTCTTATTAACTAATAAATATGAAGATTGTTATGAGCTGTAGAACATTTTTTTCTCGTTTTTTATTCAGTTTTTACAGTTTTTCGTAATTACGTAATCTACCACTCGTATGAAAGCGAGTAATAAGTGAGGAAAACATCATGAAATACAAAGAAAAAATTGTATTTGTTGCTATTTTATCCAAACTATTTATAACAGAATTATTAATAACGTTTTTCAAACTCTTATTTAATTAAAAACTACACTTGAAACAAACTTGAATCAATTCTAAAGGTCATTTTGATGATTATCTTGCATAGAAGAAATAAATACATCAATCAATTTTCTGTTTATGAAACTAAACCAAGTTTAGATTCAACGAAAATAAGTATAAATATTCTGTTTTCGTTCGGTCTTCACGTATTTTTAGAGCAATCCAAAAGTATAGGTCAGGATTAAAATCAATAAATAATACCACCAAAATCCTCGTGACCTTGAACAATTAGATCCCCGCGAGAAATGCGAACGATACACGTGCTCTACTATTTCTCAATCTAATCTAAATCGCTCAGGTCAACTACTCTCGTGTTTTCCCATTCATTGATAATCCAGATCGTACAAAATCTCACGTTCAAAGCGAAACTAATATCTAAGTTTTATACAATAACAGTTACAATAGTTTAGTGCTAATAAGTAAAGAAAATGTATAAGTTTATCGACCTAAATTCGAGTAAAAAAATTCTGTTATTGTTAAGAGTAAGTTGAGATTTAAATGATCACTCGAAGTGCAGACAATGTAAAAATAGCATTTATATGATGCACGTTTTCGTTGAGCTAATGTAAATATTATTCGCGCGCCGATGGAATTAAAATACTGTACAGAGAGTAGTTGTTGTTGTTGTTTAATTTTTGTGTGTGTGTATTCTTTTTCTTCAATTCGGAACGCGTCCGTTGTTTCCAAGCAATTAATTTCGATTTAAAAGATGTTGCACAACGTTGCGTGTAACGACGAAGCTCGTTTCAATTTATTATTTTTTTTCATTTCCTTAATTCGTTCCAGATTAAGAGCACATACACACTTACTTCTTTTCTAATAACACGCAAATATTTGCTTTGCGATGGAAGATAACGGAATTTGATGCCAATTATCCTGTATCTATGATAAGAGTAGAACTTATCCGTTTGTCCTTCTCGCATTTTCACGCGCCGAAGTATTTTTCAACGAAATTAATTCCAGCAAATCCCCCGACACGCTGACGTCTTGCACATTTTTTTTATGTCTGTCGTCTAAGTCTTGCGCAAACAATTTGTTCGTACATTGTTGGTCTTCGGGGTTTTATCGTTACACGCACTTTTTGTATTTCGCGAAAATTTAGCGAAATACACGAAGCAGAAATATCTAGTTAATCAAACATCCTTCTTTTTTTTTCATTTTACGCTGCGGTTCCATTCCTACAAAAGCCGTCGCAAATCGAATCGGCGTAAAATGAACCCATATTTACAGTGAGGTAACTATAGGGTTTACTTCTATATAAGTCTAAAATCAGCAATTAATAAGCGTTATTGTGAATCGGCGTAAATCGAACAAACAAAATTTGAAAAATCTATAACAACATTTCTAAAGATTTTATTAAATATATCAGCTCTATAAGAAAATACAATTTAAGTAAAAACTGATTTCAAGCAATAAAATTATAAATGTTAATTAAAAACTACAGGATCTTGTATTTTACTAAAATAAATTTTGAATAGATTTTAATGAATCTGTTAACATTTAGAAGAAATGTAAATGTTTAGGATATGAAAGTTAATTACATTAAGTTGAAAGGAAATAATTGTACAATAATCATTTCTGTTGAAAAACTAAGATTTAGTTTAATTTATTTGAGAATATGTAAAATTTAAAAAAAGATTCAGTAAATGAAATTGTATTTTCCGATAAGAAAAGTGAAATATTTGAACAGTAACTAACATGTATACAATATTAGTTTCACCAAAGTTTGTACGGTTGCTGAAATTTGTAAAGAACTTGAAAATGAAGATGCCTTAATAATTAGTATTTTAATGGAATCTTTAATGGACTAATAAGAAACATGTATAAATTAAAAAAATATCATAATTAATTACAATTGAAAATTGCAAGAAATTTTCGATAACGGTTCGAATCATAAAATTTGAATATTTAAAATTTATATGTATATAACTTTAGTTGCAACGAAGTTCGCGCAGTTGCTGTAACGTAAATTTCGTTCTTCTTTTTTCATGCGTCTAGTCCTTGTCCTAATTTATGCTAGATTTTTAACATAGTTGCCCTAGTTTTTTCAAAGAAATATTTGAAAATTTAAAAGTGTATGGAACATTAGTTGCATCAAAGTTTGCACATTTGCTGTCATTTAAATTTAATATATTTTAAATAATAAATTTAAAAAAAAAAGAAATAATTAAATATAAAGTATTTGAAATCAGTCTCTGCATTTTATTTGAGTCCTTTTCTTAATTTATCCTAGATTTTTAAAATAGTTGTCCTAGTTTTTTTCAAACAGCGTTAATAAAATATTTGAAAATTTAAAAGTGTATATGTATGGAACATTAGTGGCACCAAAGTTCGCACATTTGCTGTTTAAAAAAAAATGAAATAATTAAACATAAAGTATTTGAAATCAGTCTCTGCATTGTATTTGAGTCCTTGTCCTAATTTATCCTAGATTTTGAACAATATTATTCTAGTCTTTTCAAACAGCGTGAATTAAATATTTAAAAGTTCAAAAATGTGTATGTATGCCACATTAGTTGCATCAAAGTTCGCATATTTGATGTTGAAGTACATCAAATATGCGAACTTTTACACTTTAACACAATTTTTTTTTTAAATAATTATACATAAAGTATTTGAAATGAGTCTACATTTTATTTGAAATTTCTTGAAAATTCACTCTTTCTTAAAATGTAATTAAATGTGGGAATAATTCATGAAGGTAAGTCAAAAAATGAAATGTTTATAAGTTCGATATTGAGTATAATTCCTCGACAGATAAACTAACAAACTATTTTAATATCATTAATTTATTATCGTGATAATTCAAATTCCTTATGGAAGAATTATGCATATTCATCAACTTTAATTGACGTAGTAAATTTATTCCATTTTCTTCATTTGGTAGTTCTAAAAATAAAAAATATTTACAAATATTGCATAAATAATGTTTAGCCTTAATTTACCTTTTCAGCGATATTAGAGAGATGCGCGTAATCTCCGCTACTTTGAAGCATCGACTTGAAGATTCCCGTCTCCATGCTCAACAGTTCATACGGATGTGCGAATTCTGCGGCTCGTCCACTCTCCATGACCAAGATTTTATCCGATTCCATAACCGTTTGCAACCTATGGGCAATGGTCAACACCGTACAATCGCTAAACTTTAACTTCAACGTCTTCTGGATCAAACTTTCCGTTTGCGGATCAACGTTAGCAGTGGCTTCATCCAAAACCAGTATCTTGTTGTTCCTAAGCAACGCTCTTGCTAAGCAGAAGAGTTGTCTCTGACCGAGACTGAAGTTCCTTGGCATCTCCGTTAAATCCGAGACGGAATCCTTAAGCTCAACATCATCCAAAGTTTGCCAGATATCTCTGTCCGTGTACTCGTCGAAAGGATCCAAATTCTTCCTGACGCTGGTCTCGAACAAAACCGGTTCTTGTGGTATTATAGAAATATTCCTTCTCAGCATTTTTATTGGTAAATCGGATATATTGCAATTATCTATGACGATTTTCCCGTCGGTTTTGTACAGCTGATAGAGAGCTGAGAGGATCGTCGATTTTCCAGCTCCGGTCCTTCCGATTATTCCAATTTTCTCTCCCGACTTTACAGCGAGATTCAAGTTATCCAACACCCTTTTACCTTCGCTGTATTCCAAACTCGTATCTTTGAATTCAATGTTCCCAGATTTGGGCCAATCGAAATTCAATTCGAAATCGTCTTCTCGCTTCAAATTGGTGAACTTCTGAATCCTCTCCACTGATACCATTTCGTTGATCATTTCCGTAGTTTGCCGCATGCCCCATTGGAAGCCCAACATCACGGACATGTACAGAGTCAAAAGAAAACCAATTGCCTCGCTTCTGTTGTCTGCAAACATTCAGAAATATCACTTACAAATCACAATCATCAATAACGATTGCTTACTTTCATCCAGGTATACTAATATCACTATATTCGTGGATAACACCACAATGCAGCTTAGATCATTCCAGAAGCCAAAAGCCCTGACTGCCGCTGCACAAAGCACCCAACTTGAGTTGTTAAAATCCTGCAGATCATCGAAAACTTCGCTGAACTTATTCTCCGCGTTGAAAGCACGTATTGTGCTTAATCCGTTCAACGAACTCCTTAGATGACCAAATATTGGACTTCTTGCTAAAAATATTACATAATTAATCAAAGAATTGATTAAAATTTAAACTTACAAGAAGCGTATATCCTCTTAACCATCAAGGATAATCTCATATAAAATTTGAGCAATATGATTGATATGATAATGAGGATTAACGAGGGAATGATCAGGTAGACCTTAATGATTATACCCATGATCAAAATTGCGATTAGATTGAGTTGTATTGAAAATACGTCGTGCACGATGTGTGGAATTACTATATCGACGATGGTGAAGTCTTTCGAAAACGTGTTCAAGATTCGTCCGGTTGGATTGGAATCGAAGAACTTCATCGGCGTTTCGAGTAATCGCGTGAAAGCGGTGAAATGCAGACGTTCCGCGCCTTTCGAGCAGAATCTGTAATGCCAAATCGATCGGATCAAAGTTATCGGTATAGTGGCCAATATCACTGCGCTGTACGTGTAAACCATCTGCAGTTGGAAATCTTTATTGTTTAAAACATCATCATCATGGGACATCCTGAAATTATCCAGTTGATGCATATTTTTTTAATTGAAAGTTATCAGTTATCTTACCAATCCATAACGAAGTAATCTAGATACGAGTAAATCAATTGGGATATAATGAACATCGTTAAAAGTAAGATCAATATGAACGCGTTTCCGCCGGACCTGAAATAAGTCCAGTAAGTTTTCAATTTGATTGAACCTGAATTCATCTCCTCTTTGTTCTCGTTCGAACTACTGCTGACAGTTTCCTCTTCATCAGTTTGCTCTACCTTTTCACTGCTTTCTTTTTGATCATCGATCTTTAATGATTTGGCAAAGTCCGAGTCGCAAGCTTGCAAATCGCTGTAACTGCCTCTACACGAAATCTTCCCGTTCTCCAAAATAATCAAATCTTCGAATTTCCTCAGATGCTGCAACTGGTGCGTTATCAAAATTCGTATTTTGCCTTCCAAGAATCCCTGGATGCATTCCTTGAAGATGTGTCCACCGACTTTATTGTCTACAGCTGATAATGGATCGTCCAGTAAGTATATATCTGCCTCTCTGTAAATGCACCTCGCCAAATTTACGCGCGACTTTTGGCCTCCGCTGAGAAGATCCACGGACGTATCATCTCCGGATGGGAGCAACGTGAAGTCACGTTCCAAGGCGCACACCTGACACACCTTCTTGTATCTCTCAGCGTTGAATTCTCCGCCGAATAAAACATTTTGGCGGATGCTACCGTTGAACAGAAACGGTTCTTGAGGAGCGTAAGAGATGCTTCCGGTGACGGATAAATGTCCGGAAGTAACAGGCAACTCCTGAAGAATAACATTAAGCAAACTGCTTTTACCGCTTCCCACAGGCCCAATAACACCGATCATCTGATTCCCATCCAAACTGAAGCTTATATCGGTCAAAGTGTTTTCGTCCTGCCATTTTGCGCTCACCTTGCCGAACACGACCTTGCATTTCTTCGACTTGATAACGTTCGTGATAAAAACGCCGTCTTCGTGATCCACTTCGATTTCCTTCACCGTCTTCTCCGGTGTATTCAGAAATTCTTGGACCCTGTCCAGTCCGAGCTTGATATCAATCACAGCAGGAATCGCGCATGTTAGTTGACTGATTGCCGTGAACCGCATTATGTAATGGATGCAGACAACAGCGAAGACATCAGAGATTTTCAGGTTCAATTCGAAGAACACGCACGCGACGAGCGTGACGAAGATGGAACCGCGCACTACAAAACCATCAAAAGAGGACAGTAATCCGATGAAATTGTCGGATCGTAAAACGTAGCTCATCTCTTCACTGCAATCACAAGAACATTACAACGTACAATTTAATCGAGTGATAAACTCACCGTCTTATTATTGTGATCCAATCAAGGAACGCCTTCTCCCACGTGTACATTTTGATTGTTTTTATGTTCGAGCAAATCTCGTTCATGAGCTTCACCCTTGTATCAGTTTTCGTTGCCATCTTCAAACGGCACATGGAAATTTTTTTGCTCAAATAAACTGCAAAATAATATGATGAACTTACAAGCAAAAATATTACATGTTGATAAGCTTACGTATAATTGGGAAAAATATGAATAGGAAAATTACTCCAATGAAAGCTATCCAACCCATGTAAGTGTACAGCAGGTAAGTGCCCACGATCAATTGGATCGGCGTTATCCAAACCATGTGCACGAGCATCGAATAAGTGTCGAACTTTTGCATATCGTTGGATAAAAGATTCACCACTTTTCCGGCCGTAGATTTTCCGAAATGTTTTTGATCCAGTCTCAGAGATTTCCTGTAAATCAGCGAAGTGCAAGAAGACCGTATCTTCATGGTCAACGTTTGGAATCTGAACATGACCGCATGCAAAAGGATTTTTATAATAAAGAAAACGAATGCCCAAATGGCGAAGAGTATGTAACCGTCCTCTTCGTTAATGGGATCGGCGAAATGCAAGATCAAACGTTCGACCAGCATCGGCAAAAGTATTCTGTAAGATTACATTATTGTTAATTTGTTGAATTATTGGATGATTATTGAACTTACATGGTTGTTAATTCTCGTATTAAACACAATATTCCGATTATGCAGAATTCTAAGCCGAAGACTTTGAACATTGATAAAAGCAGCGACCATTTCTTGCTGGTTTTCCGTTTTTCCATCCACGTCTTTTCGAGTAAATCTCCATATCGGTTGGCTTCTTTGTGATTCACGGAAACGTCGTCTTCGGTAAAATCCTTTTTAAAACTGTTCCAGAACAGTGGGATCATATAACTTGAAATTAAAAAAAAAAGTAAATTAATTTAACGTGATTTTAAATTTAACAATCTTACAGGAAAAAGATGTATGATATCCAGTTGGGCTTCGACCTTTTCTCCATAATGACTACTGCTAAAATGACTTCATTTTTTTGGGTATAGTCGTCTTTCATTAGCGACGCTAATATATGTAAGAATTGATAAGACTCATTAGTCAAGGTAAAACTGCCTTTATTGCTAATAATACAAAATATGGAGACAATAATAAATATACTAATTCTAATTTACGAGGCCGGACTGTTTGGCCAACGAATAGAAGATTCCCTGCCGCTTATCGAGGAGGGCTTTCGGTGTATCGAACTCAACGACTGATCCAAAATCGACGACCATAATCTTGTCCGAATTGATGATCGTGTTCAATCTGTGCGCGATCGTCAGAATCGTGCAATCGGAGAACAATCTCGCAATTGTTTTCTGCACGAGTGCGTCCGTTTGCGGATCGATGTTGGCCGTGGCCTCGTCCAGCACCAAGATTTTGTTGTTGCGAAGGATTGCTCTCGCCAAGCAGATGAGTTGACGTTGTCCGACGCTGAAGTTGGCGCCACCCTCGCTCACCACGCTGCTCAAACCCATTTCGAAACCCTCGACCACGTGCTTCAACTCGATCTCCCCCAACGTATTCCACAATTCGTTGTCGGTGTGCTGATCGTGCGGATCCAAATTGGATCTCAATGTACCAGCGAATAAAACAGGATCCTGGGGAATAATAGAAATCTTCGATCGGACAATTTCCAATTCGATGTCTTTGATGTCAACGTCATCGATGATGATGGAACCGTGGATGTCGTAGAGTCTGAACAGTACGGAAATGATCGAGGATTTTCCAGCTCCCGTCCTTCCGATGATACCAATTTTCTCTTTCGGCTGTATCACGAAATTAACGTCATCCAGCACTTTCTTATCCGAATTCGTGTACTTCAACGTGACGTTCCTGTACTCAATCAGCCCTTGCTTGGGCCAATTATCCGGATCCTCTCCACTCATATCTTCCTGTTCGGCATTCGAATACTCCACGATTCTCTCCACCGAAGTCATCATAGTCTCCACTTCAGTCCACTGTCTGATTCCCCACTGAAGAATACCGGTTAAACCGAAGGATTGCGTTATAGCCAAACCCACATTTCCAGCAATAATCGCTGCAAAAGCAAAAAAAATATAAATTAACATTGATTTGTAACTTGTTTGCAATTTCACTTACAGCTGGAATCGAGAAGTATGAAACTGAATACTATAATTGCAATGTAAATACTGCAAAGGATATCCAACCAAAAGCCGAAAGCCCTCGAAGTCGCTATGTACATGTAAGCGGCGGAGGTGTTCAAATCTTGATGCTCGTCGAATTGCATCTTCAAAGTTTCTTGCTTTCCGCTAGCTCTGATCGTCGAAAGTCCTTCTAACGTTGAGTTTAAGTAACCAATAACCGGTGAACGGGCTGCAATTAATTAATTATTTATAAATATTTTGATTATCAATAATTTGTATATATTGATGAGCACTCACTAGTTCCATCTAATCTTCTTAAGCTTCTGCTGGTTTTCAAGAAAACGACGCGAGCGTAAAGGAGAATAACCAAAACCACCGATGTTGGCAGTAAAAGGTACGGGTTTACAAATGATAAAACAGTTACCACTCCCGTTAAGACGAAGAATATGCGAACGCATTCGAAGTAAGCGTAAGGCAAATATTCGTCGACTACACCGAAATCTTTAGAGAATCTGTTCAGGATGTTTCCGGATAAGTTACGGTCAAAGAACGACATGCAGGCTGAGGTGATTCTCGAGAAGATTTTGTGATGAAGCGTCTTCGAAGCCATCGTTGTTAAACCGAAGAAAGTAAATAACCTTAGCACCGTTAACGTCGTTGCAACTACGATGATTATAGAATAGGTGTACATTGCAGTAACGTGCTTAGCCTCGGCCTCAATTAAAGTGTCTTCCGAGTAGTAAGTTGAGTTGGTCTTTATTTTCGACAGTTCTTGCTCGATGGACAACCATTTCGTTATGTAATAATCGAAGTAACTCAACGAGCATTGTCCCAACAAACAGAGAATCAAGAAGAACGGTATGGTCTTCCAGCCTCCGGCGTGATGCAGATAATGCTTGTACACGTCCATGCTGACTCTTCCCACTTGTTTGGTCTCGTTGTAAATTGCTGTATTGTCCATGTCCAGAGTGGAAACCAATAAATTGCAATTTTCGTCCGCATTCTCTTTCTCGTTGGGCTCCTTTCCACGAACCGGACTGACCTGCACCTCTTCAACGTCATCAGCACTTCCTTCTTCGTTCGCGTTCGACCCAAAATCTATTCCCTGCCTCTGCAGATCATCGAAAGATCCGTCACCTTTGATTGATCCCTGATCGATCACCAAAATCCTGTCCATATCTTCAAGGAACATCTTGTTGTGGCATACGACCACGCACAGTTTTCCTTTCAGGAATCCCCTCATGCATTCGTGGAACACGAATTTGCTCACGCTCGCATCGAGCGCATTCAACGTATCATCAAGCAAATAAATATCGCATTTCTTGTAAATTGTTCTAGCTAAATTGATCCTCGCCTGCTGCCCCTTGCTCAAATTCAGCCCTTTGTCGCTGACAATCGTGTTATCTCTCTTCGGGAAAGTGAGCAGATCCCTGGTCAAGGCGCAAACCCTTATAACTTGCTGATACCTCTCCCTCTCGTACGGCAATCCGAACAATATGTTCTGCTTAATCGTCCCTGGGAACAACCATGGTTCTTGTGATGCGTAGCTGTAGTCTCCGGAAGTAGAAACGCCACCATCGCACATATGCACGTCGTGCATAATCATCTTCAGAAGAGTCGATTTACCGCCTCCCACGGATCCCGTCACTCCTATTAAAGAAGGTTGCAGTTTTAAATTCACGTCGCTCAAGATGCTCTTATTCAGAATCTCGACAGAAGCGTTCTTAATTGAAACATTAACTTCTCTGATTATGGGCATCTGCTTATCAATGCTATCCGTGTCCTCGACGAGAAGATAGTTTTTGATGCGTTTCAGCGAACTCTTAGCTTCGGCCATCTGCGAGACGCTCATAGGAATTGCAACGCTCAGCACAAACTTCAAAGACCCGAAGCAGCTGATGACTACGAAGACTATCTCCGCGTCGATCGCATTTCCCATGTAAATGAACGCCAGAATACAGATGTAGAAAGACAACCTTTGACTCACGGCGGACATTGAAAGAATAACCGATTTCAAATAGAAGATAGAACGCAGTTTGCTCATCTCGTTTCTGAAACAAATATTTCAAGTTAAGATAATCTAATGTAAATTTAAATTTGCACGTACATTCTTAGTGCATTGGTTATTTTCGTGTAGTACTTCTCCCACGTGTACAATTTGATCAATTTGATCGAAGTTAAAATCTCTTGGATCCTCCTCAAACGCTCATCAGTTTTACCCGAGGTTTTCAAACGTAAACTTGTCGTCCTCTTGGCTATCATAACTGCAAACTCATGAATTATTTAACTGAATGTTATTTGTGTTTTGTCGCACTCACTTTGGAACGGAATCAGAAATATCAGGAAGCTGATACCCAAGATTGCGGCCCACTTGATCTTCTGGTACATAATGTAAGTCATGAAACCGACTTGGATGAGTCCGATCCAGAGATCGTGAGCGAAAATCAGTGCGGATTCAAAGACTAAAACGTCTTTGGAAACCATCGTGACGATTTTACCGCTGGAGAAGCTGATCAATGAGGATGAGGTCAGTTTCAGTGATTTCCTGTAAATCAACGAGCTCAAGGCCGTTCGCACTTTAAGCCCCAGCTGCGTTAAGCTCAGCATGTAGGAATGAGTGTAGATGGATTGAACGAATGTACAGAAGATGACGATCGAGCCGTAAATGTAAGCTTCGTTTATGCTCATAGTACTTTCGCTAGCAAAGTACGACACCAATTTGCCTGTAGCCAACGGTAGTGTTACCCTAAAATTTTAGTTGATATTTAAGTGTTAAATCAATTTGGAAATTCTTACAATGTAACTGATTTCACAATCAAATTGGTAAATCCGTACATCATCCAGCTTTTTCCGTACACCCTGAACATGGTCTTCGTCAATGAAGTATGAGGTTTCTTTTTCTCTATTTCCCATTCTCTTTCTAGGTCATCTCCAAGCTTTGAAGCTCGGTAATCGTTTAAGACATTGTACACGTCTGTTTCAATTAACTCTCGTTTCGAAGACTTCTTAAAAATATCATAAGTAAACCTGCAACATTAAATTTTATGATTAAAATGTACTAAATATTTGCAAATGATTTAGCTATGATTTAGAATTAGGTGAGAATTTCAAGACTTACAAGAAAGTTAGGACGTTAAAAAACCCCGCCTTCTCCTTGGGGTTCGTATTCCTCTTGATCGGCGGCGCCTGATACATCTTTCAGCAATTTTCAATTGCAATTCCAAAAGTAAACTGTCCAAAATCGAAGAGGATAAAACTCAAATTATCATCTTTCGAAAATCGTTTTCTTCTTGGTGAAAACAAGGCGAAACACACACACGACGTACTCGAACCCCGACCAACTGTGGCTTAATCAATCAATTAAACAATTAAAACTGATTTTATTTCGTTATTGTTATTGAGATAAGATCTAATATTGGATTTATCGGAATCATCAAGTATCGCTCGTTTCATAATTACAAGTCCTGATCAAATTTTGCAACTCATTTCGACAATGTCGATTATTTCGATTCATTCTTGCCATTTCTTTTAATGACTTTTTGGAGGCAACATAATAGTACATTGTTAAAAAATACTTATATTTTACACTTTTTGTTGAAAACAATAATTAAGCTGTTCAGCATTATCTTGAGAATGTTTAAACGATGTCCAATCTTTTGCATTTGAAAGGTTACTAAAACTAATGATGCAAAAATTAAGATTGCATTTCTTTGCTTTTCTTCTGGAAAAATTTCTAAATAAACTCAAAACTTAATAAATTAGATATAAATTATTTATTATTTTTCTATTTACAAATAATGTGGCATACAATAATAGAATTTCTGATTATATTTAGAGTATATTTATCACAAAAATATGAATCTATGTGTTATAATTTAGAGGGTAAATTGGTAATGACTTATAGAGTTGGAGCGGATGCATTCGGAGTGTTCGAGGACGTTTCCACAGCAGGACCAGTGTCTTCGGCCCGGATGTCCTTCGTGGCCGTGTCCGCATCCCCTGTAACCTCCAGGCATCTTTCCGCCACAACCGCAAGCCGCTTCTTTGCTGCCGCCGCTCGAGCAAAAGCTGCAGCAATGGAATGTGCCGTGGTGAGGCCGCAGCGTCTTCACCAAGATCGGTAAGGGTCCCTCCTGCAAATGATGATGATTAAAGAGGTGAGTTGGGTAAGGATGTAAGTGGTGAACCTTGAGTGGTTGATCGTTGATGTAAACGAACAGCCGTAACTTTCCCGCAACATCCGGTATGAAGCAGATGCGGTAGGTTCCATCCCTTCGGTCTTCCACGTGAATCTGCAGGGAACGACAGACGCCAGCGTCGCGATGCCTCAACTCAGCGGTCACATGTTCACCTCCCCTTTGCAAGGGGTTGTCGCTGACGTCGTGCGTTTCCAAAATAACTTCCGCCCGACGACCCACTCGAAGGTTCTGTAAACCTGCGATAAATCATAAACCATCAGACCAGTCAAAAACCAGACACCCGTCTTCCGCCTCATCTGTTTTACCGTTCGTGTGAAGGATGCAATGCTTGACGGAGACCGTTTGGGCTGTGATGACGCCGTACAAGGGACAACAGGTGTCGCTCGTGGCCATCTCTTTAGGGAGAAACTGCAGAGATCCCGACGCACTCAAATCCCTTCCCCCGTCCAATTTGTAGCAGTGCTCGAGTCGCCTCATTATCGGCTTCACGAAGCTGAGAACTTCCACATCCGTCCCTTCACGCAATAACTCATCGGCGAATGCAACAGCATCCCTCGCATCCTTCAACCTCCTCTGCAGATCGTCCCTGCTCCTATCGATCAACTGCTGCTTCTCGTTTCTCGCCTCCAGCAGCTGCTGGTGGAGGTTCTTCCGGTGCTCCTCCACCGCTCTCACGTAATCCTCCATGAAGCTCTCGATTTCCCCTCGCATATCGTCGCATCTCTTCTCTACCCTCTCCGACGTCCTCACCATTTCCAGCTCGTTCAGAGATCCCTCCTCGGCCAGCGATTTAGCCCTCTCCAAGGCGATCCTCATGTTCGTCATCTGGGATTTCGCGGCGCGATTTGCCACGTCGTGCGTGTGCCCCCGGTGTAATCCGTTCACGCAATCCCTGCACACGATCTGTAACAAAAATAGAAGAAACACGTGTGAAGAGTTTAACAGTTTCGCAGCCTCTTAAACGCACATGTGCCAACAACTCTTCCATCTGTCCGCGTCTCTACAATTTAAAAAGAAACTTCTGGTTAGTTGTTACCTGGCAACAAGTGGCGCAGAAGATGGAGAGCTCGCGTTCCGGATGCACCGAGCACATGACCTGCCTTCGAACGTTAGTGATTCCTCTTCGGCGCGCCTCATCCAACCCCAAAACCTCGTGGGACTTCTTCTGTCTGGCGTGACCGTCCGCACATTTCACGCACAAACTCATCGCACACTCGGTGCAACGACTCGTAGCCTACAACAAAAACAATAAACACGTTAAATTCCATTATTACTCCACAAATCATTTGTCAAATAAGTATAAACAATTCCTATTAAATAACATCTGTTTAATAATAATTATCAATATCTGAAACTATGTCAATTTTTATTGAACCGAGATATGAAATCTTCCTATTTATAAGTTATAGATGATATGAACTATTTTGACTATTACACAGCTTGAAATCAATACTTATCTCAAGATAATTTATTAAGAAAAATTGAATTATTTTTTTTTACCGTGACATCATTGGGGCAAAGATCGCAGAGCAGTTTCGTCGTGTGGGCGTTGAGGGTAGCCAAAACCATTCGATGTTGGATGAGGAAGTTCGGAGGTAAACCCAAGATACCTTCAGCAGGAATATCCGTGCGAGCTCTGCATATCGGACACTGTATTGTTCTTCCCATTTGAGATGCACTCTCCGAAGCCTCCTGACGATCGCTCACGTAACCCGAACCCCCAGATCCGTTACCCGTAGAACTTACTAAACCAAAAAAAAATAAAATGCAATTAACTACAATGTTGAGTTCTAAAGGTCAACTATTTGATAATGGATCGTTTACATAGAGGAAAAAAAAACTAGAATGGAAAAAATAAATTACATTGTAAACATATTTTTTTTTTTTGCAAGTCGAATGAACGTGGAATCTTATCGACAGCAATTAGAAAGACGCCACTTCGCGGTGCTTTGTATTTGTCCGTTCCGACGATGAACGCGATTAAAAGCCGACCGATAATAAACCAATTCACACTTCAATTAAGACTAGATATCGCATCTGACGATCCCGACTTTGATTCGAGATTTAGAGACCTTCGCATATAATTATTTACAGATACAATATATATATATTTAGAATCGCTTTCCGATTATTGTCTCAGATCGATCTCTTATTTAGCTTAGGTCAGTTAAGTTCAAGGTTCCTGAAATTGCTTATATTCATCATTGATTTAGTTAATTGGATGTGCACATCATTGGCTTCGGAAACCTACATAATAACGAGAAGGGAATAGGGGATATCTTAACATATGTTCATCATTAGAAAATATCTTTCTAGAATGAGTGAAGATTTTGTGATCAATTAATCTATAATTATTTTCATTCATAAAGTTTAAATCAATTAAGTAAATATCTTTTGTGCTCCTGTTATTAATTATTTTTTTTATCATTTCCGCTGTAATCTTATCACAACCCCTATGCATTTCCTGTTTTGATAGTTATCTTTAGTTTTCTTTCATCTCAACAACACTATTGTTGTTCCCTACAACAGATATTGATATACTGACCGTCTGAACCGTTGTTCCATGCAGGTGGATCGTAGCAGAACTCCAGCTCTTGCAGACATTTGGTGCAGAATGTGTGCAAGCAGTGGAGAACCCTCGGTTCCAGAAAGTGTCTGCTGCATTTGGGACATCGATATTTGTTGTCTTCGTCTATGGATGATTCCGATTGGCCGCAGATGCTGCGCGCCCTCGACGGCAGCTCCACGTTTTGGCTCGGATTTTTGGAATTGCCGGAATGCGGCGCCGATTTCGATCTGTCGTGCACGTACTTCGCCGGTTCTATGGATCTTCTCTTCGCCGAGCTCACGTCTTGGCTCTGCCGACGACGCGTGAAAGAGCCAAAGATGTACGAAATGTGATCCACTTCCATCATCTTGAAAGATAGCCTGAAGACATATAAAAACAAGGTGTTAAAATCTCTGCTTTGATCATTGATAACTCTTAATTTCTAATACTACTTCAATCATCAATTATTTATCATTTCCCAAAAGTGTATAAACATTTTCATTTTTATTAATTTCACCTAAAATGTAAACAAATTACACAATTATTTAAAATGATTTAATCTTTAAACCAAAAGCTATTTATTTATAACAAAACAATCTAATCTAATTGATTGTAGTTTAATTAATAAAATCGTATCGTAATTCGTCTGCAAAATCAGTGTTTTTTTTTTGTGAGATTACATTATCCAATACTCATAATTTTATAATACAATAGTATTTTATGGATCTAATCAAGTCTATATTTTCAAGTACCAATTACAATTTGTCTACAAATTACGCTATAAGAAATAAATTACACTTCATCATTTATTGTTTTACAAGGAAAGCCCTTGAAGTAGAGAAAAAAAATCCATTTACTTATGATAATTGTCTACGTGCAAAGGTTATCTGTTTCAATGTAACCGATTAAAAGTGCAATTCAATTTCCTTCCTCCCCAGCTAGTAAATCAAACGATATTATTGGCAATTAAACTCAAAGCACGTAAACGTGTGTCTCCGACGTTGTTACATTTTTTTTTTAGCTTCCACAAAGCGAAAGCGTAAACTTATTTCGCGCTCGTAAAACGGAGTAATTTGTAATGCAAATGTCGAGGATAACGGCGAGATACAGATCCTCGATCCGCATTTATATCTTTATTTATTTATGGACAACAAATATATTTGAACTGATATGCCTTCGATTCCAATCAATTTTACTACAATCTTGTCTAATTTTTTTTAAATTTTATTTCAATTATTATGTATTACATCTTACATAATAATTATTAGACCTATAAAGTTTTCATAACATATTATATTTATATTGGAAATATAAGGAACAAAAAATAATTACGAACGATAATACCGACTGTCATAAAAGAAGCGTTACCATTAAATAATGCCAAATTTCAATATTATTAAACAATTTATTATAAAATTTGATGATTCGCAATACAAAATTGTTAAATCAAAACTTACATAACATAAACGAAACGAAAATAACGTAAAATTTAAATGATTCGTTACTTTTTTTTTTACTTAGATTTACTAAAAGTACCATAACTTTTCAATCATGAAACGAATAGATGTTAAATATTTTCTAGGAAAAAAATAGATGATCCACACTACATTATTATACAATGAAAACTTACGTAACATAAATACGAAAAAATGAGATGTTAGTAAAATGATAACGCTTCTTTTATGACAGTCTGTACTTAAATGAGATATTTGACAATATTATTTTTACAACTAAATGCTGAAATAGTTCATAATTATATAATTACCAATGGAATGATTCTATAGCACGATGAATAATCATAGTTGACGTTATTTAACTTATCAAACTTTATTAAAAACAACAAATTGAATACGCATCTAAAATATAAATATTTATATAATTGGTTATTTTCGAAATTTACTGTTATCATGTTTTTCACTACAAATTACTTAATTATGATTAGAGTTGATATTTCTAATTATTTTCTGAGGCGCGCGTTCTACGCAAACGGTCGTTCCAATTAAAAAAAATATAATAATAAATACAAACAGACAATTTGGGCGCCGCGACGCGAATTCGTAACGAGGCCGGACGACGACAGAGATACGCGACCTTTTTTTTTTAATATTATTTTATGCAAATCGAGCGATAATTAAGTACAGTTACATCGAAGCAGCCGAAAACGACGTAAAACGGGGTTTCGATTGGGGACAGACTCTATGAACGTACATCGCGTAATTCGAACGTAAATTATCAGATGACATGCAAAAGTGGAGAAGAAGGGCGGATTCCGTTAGAAAGTTACCATATGCATATTTAAAATCCGCTGTTTATAAATACACGCTTCGACTTGAGAATAAAACCATTATTCTGCAGTCTATTTACTAAACACCGGGTAATGTCTATTTGCGACGGAGAAGACACGCAAACAAACAGGAGAGAATTCCAGTAGAAAAAGTGTAAAATAAATACAAAAAAAAAAGATACGATGAACTTGACCCACCAGAAGAAAACAACGAAGTGGAGGAAGAACAAGAAGAAAGGTGACGATGCTCCGACATAATATGGGTTATAATGCTACGTTGTATTTATAAACACGAAAAGCCCTCTCGCTAAATGTCTAAATATATTTTCGGAAACACGAAAACTCGTTTTGATTTGGACACGGGACCTCTCACTCACTGAGCTTATTTATAGATTGTCTTCTTCATTATTCTTCGCTTATAAGAAGAGGAGGAAAACAACAACAACATCAGCAAAAAAAAGATTCCCCCTGCAAATTACGACATCGGAAGAGGGAAGAAACTTGACTTGAAATGCGAGGAGATGGGTGGTAAAAATTCCGCGAAGAATGCCACCGCGAACAACGGCAGTAAAACGATATTTATACGGTTTTATGATTTCCTTTGATACTATAATTACAATTTGCTTCTTGCAAACAGGCCACTGCAGCATTTCCATTCCGATCATTGCGAGCAAACGATCACAACTGAAATTGTTATTGGATTTCCGATAAATTTGCAAACCAATTTACATTGCTTGAAGACAAGAAGTATTAGAAAGAATTGCTTTGCGTTATAACTGAAATGTTGTTTGTAACTTCTAGTAGGAATATTAACTGAACTATTATAGATTAAATTAATTGAATAGAAAGTTTTGGATGAAACTAATTCTGAGTAAGAAACAAATCGAATCGGAAGAAAACAGTTACAAAGAATAGACAAAAAATAACTTTATGATGTAATAAAGCAGATTTATTTCTTGCTAGAAGAAAATAACGAAATTTAATTGAATTGAGATAATCAAAGGAATGTTGAAGTAAAATTGTTAAAACAGAAAAAGAAAAAACAGCACTTAAGTAATGTTATCCATACCCAATTATGTATTTCACTTAAGAACCAATTAAGATTATGTATGCACATTTTCATAATAAATTATATTTTGCATGTACATTATTTTTCAACGCTATAATAAAAAAAAAAATATATGCATTCTCGATGATAATACGAAAACAACATAAACTTGACCCACTTAAACATGTCCATTTCCACTCAGTTTTTGATTCGTACAGTAAAAGAAAAACTGCAACTAAAGTAATTCTTACATTTTAATTGCACTAAATGCAAAAAAAAAATTGATTTTTTTCTCTAAAATATATAATGATGTACTTTTTTTTTTAGAATTCTCATTTAAAATTTTAAAAATAATAATTAATATTTTTCTGACGTAAAGACCTGCTTTTGTTCCGCGTAAGTAATAAATTATACTCGTTTTAAAACAAACAATATTCACGTAATGATAATAGGAACAAAATAAATATTTAAAAGGATTTGCATTAAAAATCGTTCAAATTTATTGAATTTATGAATATTCCATTATATTCATAAATATTTATTTAACAACATCCAAACTCTGATAAACTCTTAGTTTTAATGAAATTAACTTACTTAATATTGAATTTAGTTAAAAAGTTTATTTTTTAATATTCGTTACAATATTAATAAACGTGTTTGTGATTAAGGCACAATTTAATTATGCTTAAAGCGTATCCGTGTCATGTACTTACGTAGACCTGACCTACGAATGGTATAGTCTGAGCCAACTTTAGCAATGAATCATTCGAGTACAAATGTTTTCATTGCCCACAATTTCTAAACCTATATACAAAACACAGTTACAATCAGCTTAGTAAAATTTATAAAAAAAAAACTTTACTCTTCATATGAGTTGATAATTTTGAACATATATTATATTAATAAATTATGTTCAGTTTCATAATTGTTTTAAATACATTAAGAAATAAATAATTGATTTAATTCTTTGTAATCTAAATTAGATGAACAGATATAAAATAGATTGATACACAATCATCATTTATTTATAAAACAATAAGTTAATTAATTGTAAGTCGACTTAATTTAGTGAAATCTATTTGGATAATGTAGACAGGATAATTCATTGATAGACAGTTTACGTTATTGTTATTGTAAATATTGCATTTTGTTGTAAATCCATTCATGAATGTATTAAGTTTAAGTCAATAATTGTAGAAATTAATTGATTGCACTGTTTACGTTATGTTGAGAAATTAATGAATTTTGTTGCAAATCAAAATTTTTAATTGAAGTTTAAAGAAAAATAAAACAAATATTTTTTTTTTTTTAAATGAATGTAGTTGTCTGGTGATTACATGTAATTTTCCAATTCAGATCGTAATCTGCAATAATTGGATTGGATTTCGAGAGGGCTTCGAAAGCTGTAGAACGCCACACATTCAGGGATACAAAAATAAACATTGCGTTATCAAAACATAACAGGATGCCCGAAACTTATCATCTATATTTATAACTAACTACTTGTACCTATTGTTCGTAATTGTTTAAAGCAAAGAACTTTTTAAAGCATATGTGAATAATTTTTTTGAATAATTCAAGGACTCACGCGCTTTCAGCTTATCTGCAGATAATTCCAGTTCACGAGGCCTGGGTTAACATCGTTGTCGTTTGGTGAGGAAGGCGTCGCGACGTGTCTTTTGCGGGCGTCGTCCGAACACTGACTGACTGGTTTTCTCTTAGCCAGATGGCTTGGCTTCTGTGCCAGAGTGCGTTGCGTTCTCGCCGTCGTCGTCGTCGTCGTTCAAGAAGAAATTATAAATACCTCGCGAACAGCATATATTGTGTGCGGTTCACTTCAGACCGCCTCTAAAAACCTCATTGCTTTCATTTAAATCGCGTAACCGGCGTCGATTTTCTTGATTGATTTGCACATTCCGCACTCGCTTCGCTTCCAGACAGCATCCATTTCATATTCATATATTCACGTGCTCGTATTCCTGTACAGAGTACACGTTATTTATTGCCTTCCTCCTGCTTCTCCTCACCAATATCACCGCACTTCTCTCTCTCTATCTTTCTTTATTCTTAACATTTCCATTCGCTTTTGTTTCCTTTTATTCCACGAAGCCGAAACTTGTTTAACGCTAATTAAAGTCCCTCCCCGAAAACTGCTTCATTAAGTCAACTAACTGTTATTTCAATCGAGCTAAATTATTTGCAAAATATAATTAATAATGCAGAGTTCGATATTCCTGCTCACATCATCCAAATTTAATGAGACGTTTTTTCAATCGAGAAGCGAGCACAAATAATAGATACCAACTCATTCGATTATTCCGTTTAATGCAAACTTCTTTCGCTTGTAATTAGCGATTCGCGAAACATTTCCAACAAAAACTCAATTCCATCGAAAACTTCGTTAAACAAGTTTGAACAATGGTTCAGCTAGGTAAATTACCGATCAAAATACTGGAATTTCAGCTGCTGTGGCCGGAAAAGATTAACTTCAGCTACATTTTTAAAATTGCTGTATTCATCTCCTATATGACCATCTGCGCCATCGGGATGATTGGCCATTTTGTATACTCCTACGGTCAGTTTTATTCTCAAAGCGAAATCGCTCGAGCTATTTGATTCTTAACTTTCAGTTAACGATGAGTTTACCTATTTAAACATCGCCGACGATATGGCCGGTTGTTTGGCAACTCTTTCAGCAATCTACGTGATGTTGGTCCACATAAATAATGTAGGATCTTCGAGGGAACTGTTGCAAAGATTATCCGATTTTACGATGCACGAGAAACCCAAAGACGTCGATGTTCTGGATAAGCACCTGAACTTTGTTAGCGTCATCGCCTGCGTTCTTCTCTACATTTCGATGTTTCTTCAATGGGTTGTAGGCATAATGTCCAACTGTCCAGAAACTGGAGAGATTTCCGATTGCAGCTTCATAGTCACCGCATATCTACCCGATCCGTTCAACATCTTCATAAGTCCGTATAGACAGATTTTCATGACGTTGCAGATATCTTCAGCATTCATATGCGGTATCTGCGCGTTCTTCTGCCTCTGGATTCAAGTCTGCATTTCCCAGTTCATTGTAAGCAGGCTGAAACATCTCAAGTTTATGTTGAAGGAAATGTTGGTGATGAATAGTCGCGAGAAGCGACGTAGGCACATCAAGACCTGCGTTCTATACCAATACAACATCAACGAGTAGACATAGTTCAGCATCAACAATTTTAATTTTTTTTAATGTATTTACATTTAAGGATATGGTTCGACTTCAACAATAGCTCGAAGAATATCTTCCTAATCCATATTACAGTATCGCCAGTTGTCATGAGCATGATTGCTTATCAATTGCTCTACGTAAGTACTGAAAGCACATACATCAAGATAACTAATTGATTGATTACTATTGAAGCAATTCAAGTTTGTGAATTTCGTACACTTGGTTGTCTGGAACTTGGCGGTACTTGTAAGTTGCTATTACGGAGAGAAGCTCATTAACGAAGTATAACTTCTTTTTTAAAACTTCAATAACTTATCATAATACTAATTATTCGGTAAAATTGCTAATAGATACTGTTTTCAGAGTGAGACCCTCATGGATACTGCATATGATAGTATACCATTTGATGAAGATTATGAAACCACGAAGGACATGCTTCTGATCATGAAGAGGGGGAAGTATGCAATGTACATCTCTGCAGGTGATTTCGCTATTTGCAGACATGTAACTTATATGACGGTACAAATACCAGTCAAATTTTTATACACAATTTAATTGAATTATTTTTAGATCATGAAAACTATGTACTCTTATCTAACTATATTGACCAAAACTTAGATTCATAAATTACGCTTGCTAAGTTCCCTATTCAACAAAAACACAACTTAAAATTAATTATGGATTTTAAACGAGAAATGCAACTTTAAGAAATATTCGTCGCAAGCACACATTAAATAAATGCTTTTAAAGGTAGCATTAAATTTCTATTGTTTCAAGAATTATAGAATAGAAAATAAAGTACTTTTGCATGTTCAGACTTGTACATTTTAAATATAATATAAAATACTTTCCTGTTAAAATTTCCTTATTGATATTTACAAACACTAAAATATACACTATACACTAAAATATATGATTTCTAACTTGAATGAAGATTTACTGTACTAACCAAAATATACAAACTAAATTTGTAAATTCTCAACTCTCAGAAATCAGTCACATACGGAATAGGCATTCCAGTGTCCAACATTGCCATCTTCCTGCTCCATCTTCACAGTGGAATTATTCGCAATCTGCAGCAAACATTGCCTACGCCATACAAGGTGCAAGAAATGTTGTAATATTCTTTGACTCTCTATCCTCCATCAGCAGTATTTTCAGCGAACGTCAGATTGCCATGAAATTTGGTACTTCTTAAAAATCATATGTATAGAGGCGCCATCTACATGTCATCCTACGACCTTATTAAGTTGAGGTATAATTAAAATTATAAGTAGCGTTTTCAAAATTTTGAAATGGACAACATTATTTAAAAACTTAATATTTTAGTAATTGAAGCAATCGAAATATTTTATATTTACTTCCAATGGATGTTTTCTCTGTACTTAAGTCCTTTATATAAAACAAAGTCTTGTCTGACAATAATCATTAATTTTAAAAATGACCCAAATTCATTCGCATCATTATTATAAACTCATAATGTAAAATTATAGCATATACTTCAACTACAAACAAATTATTTCCAAATGATTACCATACAAATTGACTTACAGAACTTGAAGTAAAACTCTCACAGATTATAAAATATTACTAAATTACTCACTGTAAGTTTTAGAACTGTACCATATGCGAATGATTCGAAATGCATTGTTTCTAGGCAACAATTCACTAACACGTGTTTCCCGCTACATTATTCCGTTTATTATAATTTTTGCAGCTGCAATTAATGCAATTTTATTTTATCCGACTTGTAATTAGTCCATGAAAAAAAAAACGAATTTAATGGAACAGCTCACCGTCCCCTTGTAATTAATAAAGAGCCACGAGCTCTTATATAAACCCACCTCGATTCAGAAGTTTCCTAACAAAACCGAGACGCGATGGCGGAAGAAGATGTAGAATTGCTATTGTTTATCAAGAAGATACTAAATCTATACATGTTGATGCCGAAAAAAAACAATTTTCTATACGTAAAGTTCGTCCTATTCTTTATCTACGCGAATATCGTGACAGTTGGGATGGTCGGGCATTTGCTGTATTTTTACTGTTAGTATCACTGATGAAAAATCGCATACTTCCACATACCTATGATAACTGTGCGTTTCAGACAATGATCAGTTTACGTACATAAACATCGGCGATGATTTGGCAGGGATCTTATCCGTAATCTGCGCCTGGTTCATGGTATTCATATACTTAAAGAACCGCAAGAAAATTATACTTGTTGTAGAAAAATTATCAGATTTCAGTGAGTGCGAGAAGCCAAAAAACATAGCTGAAGCGAACAAGCAGATGAATCTGATGGGCATCTACGTCTTCAGCTGGATACAAGGTTCGATGATACTGGTATGGTTAATTAACTTGATAGTGAGCTGCCCGGAAACCGGAGAGGTGTCAGATTGCGGCCTGACGATATCTGCCTACATTGGGATAAACATTTACTCAAGCCCGGCTCGCCAGATCTTCATGACGTTTCAAGTCTCGTCCTCGTTTTCTTCCGGATGTACTACATTTTTCGTCAACTTGATTATCCTGGCAATCTCTCATTTACTGATCAACAGGATCAGACATTTAAAGCTAATGTTGACGGAGATTCCTGTGCTGAAAACTCGCGCAGAACGCCGCAAACATATAAGGACCTGCGTCATCTATCATCACAAAATTATCGAGTATATTATGTTTCATCAATTTTCATCACTGATATTATAAATAATACGTTTTTAGGATATGGGAAGAATTCAACGAGTCTTCAAAAAATATTTTGATCTGCCACATTACAGCGACTCCTGTAATCATGAGCATGATAGCTTACCAATTTCTCAACGTGCGTAACAAAAAAAATCTATTAATTTATACACAATTATTTCATCGCTTTAATTTTACTTCAGAAATTCGAATATGTGAGTTTATCTCACGTTTTCGCTTGGAATCTTGCATCATTGGGAAATTGCGTGTTTGGGGAAAATCTTATAACAGAAGTAAGTACACATTACAAGTGAATACATCAACAGCAAGTAGATTATTTCAGAGTGAATCCATTGCGTTTAGTGCGTACGAAAACATTCCATTCGATGGAGATAATCAAACAGCCAAAGACTTGGCACTAATTATAATGAGAAGCAGGCATCCAATGTATTTATCTGGTGGTGATTTCGGTATTTGCAGGCATATTACGTACATGGCGGTATTTCCAATAATTTAAACCGAGTTATTTATATTAAATGCATATTTACAATCATTTTCAGATTTTAAAGACGATGTATTCGTATCTAACATTGTTATTCCAAACAAGGTAAAGGTATAAATCTAGTATTATATACACACAATTACACTATAAGTTGGAAAAATATGACATATTGAAACAACTTTACACTGCAAATGCTTATAAAAAAATTTACATGTAGTAAATAATAAGTATCTAATAAATAGATTGGCTACCTAATCAGGTCAAGGATTTAAATTCGATAGATCAGTTACATATTCTGTTATTTTCAAAGGAGTTTGTTACCACATGTAATAAATATAATATTGAAAATTCTAAAGTGCATTTTTAATAATAATGTAAACGCTCTTGCATCGACCCAAAAGCTTGTGGAGATTATCTTCAACATTAAGAAATAAGATGATCTCCAGGTATTAGAACATGAACCACTCATAAATCAGATGTAAATAATAATAGAAATCAAGAAGATATGTAATAGAATACAATGTCCAAAAGTGTATCTTTATGTTTTATAGATATAGCAATAAATAAAATGATCATTATTGATTTTATTTCCATCTTATATGGTAGAGCGCAACTGTTAACTGATTTCATATAACTATGATCAAAGTCGTCAAGCATATAATAGATGTCATCTAATAATCATACAAAAAATGTATTTTCTGTAAACTTAATTAAGAACGTCACTCGAATGAATGCATATTTCTTGCAATTTTCACCTTTTTTTGTACAAAGAAAGCGTTGCATTTTCAGACAAAAATATATAACAAACAAAAACAAAATATAACTTGTTACGGAAGTTATATATATAACACCTCACTCAATAAGTTCGTAGGATGTCTAATAAAACATCAACTTTTGGGCAATATTCGAATAAAGTGAACATAGTCTCCAAAAGTGATACATTTATTCCAACGCTTCTCTAACATTTTGATACCTTTCTTGTAGATAGATTTATCTTTGACCTCAAAATACGCTTCAGTTTCTGCAATCATTTCTTCATTAGAGCCAATCATCTCTTTCCCATGAGCATTTTTTTTTAGGTCTGCAAACAGATAGTAGTCGCAGGGAGCCAGATCAGGAGAATACGGTGGATGGGAAAGCAATTCGTGCATTTTTGCCATTGCTTTGCTTGAACATTATTTTTTCCCAACAAAATGCAATGTTTTATCAACACAAGAAATTCAGATTTTTCCATTGTTTTCAAAATTACAAAACTAAAACTAAACCAATGTGAACTAAATGTCAGATTGCCATAAAAATGTTGGTACTTCTTAAAAATCATATGTATAGAAGCGCCATCTACATGTCATCCTACGAAATTATTGAGTAAGGTGTTAATTAAGATTATAAGTAGCGTATTGAGATGATCTTAGTGATACATAACTATTTTAAACACAAACATTAAAGAAATACATTATTCAAAATTTTGAAATGGACAACATTTTTTAAAAACTTAATATTTTAGTTATTGAAGCAACCGAAATATTTTATATTTATTTCCAATGGATGTTTTCTCTGAACTTAAGTCCTTTATATAAAACAGAGTCTTGTCTAACAATAATCATTAATTTAAAATATGATCCAAATTCATTCGCATCATTATTTCAAACTCATAATATAATATTATAGCAACTAAACAAATTATTTCCAAATTATTACCATACAAATTGACTTAAAGTAAAACTCTCATAGATTATAAAATATTACTAAGTTACTCACTGTAAGTTTTAGAACTGTACCATATGCGAATGATTCAAAATGCATTGTTTCTAGGCAACAATTCACTAACACGTGTTCCCCGCTACATTATTCCGTTTATTCCAATTGTTGTAGCTGCAATTAATGCAATTTTTTTGTATCCGACTTGTAATTAGTCCCTGAAAAAAAAAACGAATTCACTAGAACAGCTCACCGTCCCCTTGTAATTAATAAAGAGCCACGAGCTCTTATATAAACCCACCTCGATTCAGAAGTTTCCTAACAAAACCGAGACGCGATGGCGGAAGAAGATGTAGAATTGGTATTGTTTATCAAGAAGATACTAAATCTATACATGTTGATGCCGAAAAGAAACAATTTTCTATACAAATTAAAATTTGTCCTATTCTTTATCTACGCGAATTCGGTGACAGTTGGGATGGTCGGGCATTTGCTGTATTTTTACTGTTAGTATCACTGATGAAAAATCGCATACTTCCACATACCTATAATAACTGTGCGTTTCAGACAATGAACAGTTTACGTTCATAAACATCGGCGATGATTTGGCAGGGATCTTATCCGCAATCTGCGCCTGGTTCATGGTATTCGTGTACTTAAAGAACCGCAAGAACATTATACTTGCTGTAGAAAAATTATCAGATTTCAGTGAGTGCGAGAAGCCAAGAAACATAGCTGAAGCAAACAAGCAGATAAATCTGATGGGCATCTACGTCTTCAGCTGGATACAAGGTTCGATGATACTGGTATGGCTAATTGAATTGATTGTGAGCTGCCCGGAAACCGGAGAGATGTCAGATTGCGGCCTGGCGACGTCCGCCTACATTGGGATAAACATTTATAAGAGCCCGGCTCGCCAGATATTCATGACGTTTCAAGTCTCATCCGCGTTTTCTTCCGGATGTACTACATTTTTCGTCAACTTGATTATCCTGGCAATCTCTCATTTACTGATCAACAGGATCAGACATTTAAAGCTAATGTTGACGGAGATTCCTGTGCTGAAAACTCGCGCAGAACGCCGCAAACATATAAGGACCTGCGTCATCTATCATCACAAAATTATCGAGTATAATACGTTACATCAATTTTCATCACTGATATTAAAAATAATACGTTTTTAGGATATGGGAAGAATTCAACGAGTCTTCAAAAAATATTTTGATCTGCCACATTACAGCGACTCCTGTAATCATGAGCATGATAGCTTACCAATTTCTCAACGTGCGTAACAAAAAAAAAGTATTAGTTCAATCACAAATTATTTCATCGCTTTAATTTTACTTCAGAAATTCGATTATGTGAGTTTATCTCACGTTTTCGCTTGGAATCTTGCATCATTGGGAAATTGCGTGTTTGGGGAAAATCTTATAACAGAAGTAAGTACACATTACAAGTGAATACATCAACAGCAAGTAGATTATTTCAGAGTGAATCCATTGCGTTTAGTGCGTACGAAAACATTCCATTCGATGGAGATAATCAAACAGCCAAAGACTTGTCACTAATTATAATGAGAAGCAGGCATCCAATGTATTTATCTGGTGGTGATTTCGGTATTTGCAGGCATATTACGTACATGGCGGTATTTCCAATAATTTAAACCAAGTTATTTATAATAAATGCATATTTACAATCATTTTCAGATTTTAAAGACGATGTATTCGTATCTAACACTGTTATTCCAAACAAGGTAAAGTATTAAAATCTAGTATTATATACACACAATTACACTATAATTTGAAAAAAAAATACATATTGAAACAAGTTTTACACTGTAAATGCTTATAAAGAATTTTACATGTAGTAAATAATAAGTATCTAATAAATTGATTGGCTACCTAATCAGGTCAAGGATTTAAATTCAATAGATCAGTTACATATTCTGTTAGTTTTAAAGCAGTTTGTTACCACAAGTAATAAATATTGAAAATTCTAAAGTGCAGTTTTAATAATGTAAACGTTCATGCATCGACCCAGAAGCTTATGGTAATATATGAATATATTGAAGATACATTATGCAATAAGATGATCTTTGGGTATTAGGAACATGAACCACATGGAACATGAACCACACATAAATCAGATGTAAATAATAATAGAAATCAAGAAGATATGTAATGGAATACAATGACTAAAAGTGTATCTTTATGTTTTACAACTAAACCTGAAATGATCGAAATTGATTTTATTTTCATCTTACATTTGTATAAACTTACCTTATATGGTAAAGCGCAACTGTTAACTAATTTCGTATAACTATGATCAAAGTCCAAAGAATGAATGGATATTTCTAGCAATTCTTACTTTTTTTTGTACAAAGAAAGCGTTGCATTTCCAGACAAAAATATGTAACAAACAAAAACAAAATATAACTTGTCACGGAAGTGTTCAGAACTATATGTGCATTTTTTCAATAAAATTAATTACTTAAACCGAAAATTGTTGAAAAAATAATCAGCAATGAAAGTAAATATGTGTATTAGTATTAACTTATATGTATTAATTATCAAATTACTTACTAATTTTTGAAGTTTTCATAGCTTGTAAACAACACCAAATTGATCACACATAGTTTCAAATTGAAACTTTTGAAAAAGACTGCATTTGTATCGATGGTAGCGCCAATCGCGGACTTTTCATATAATAACTTTGCATATTCGTTAATTTGGTTGCATATATCATATAATTTTAAGTCAAACGTAGATACAAAAATATTTTAATATTTATATAAGTGCTTAATAGAGAATTCAACGAAACAGTATTGTTTTAGTTTAAAAATAGATGATTTTTTATATATATCTCAATTCGGATTGGTACATCACAGTATTCATTTGTCCCAAATTTGTTCATATAAAAGTAACAGTTTGTAATTGATAAAAATAAAGCTAATAACAAGAAATGATTCAAAAAATAACACTACTTTCAAAACTCCTCTTGCCAATTCTGTTCCCATACAAAATATTGGAAAAGCAATCTCTAAAATATTCTAATGAAATAATTGATTTAAAATATATACGTGTATATTGAAAACTTAAATTTAAAAATATTATATTGTTTTAGTTTAAAATAGATGATTTGATTTGTTTGTATACATCTCAATTCGGTTTTGGTAAATCACAGTTTTCTTTTCTCCTCAATTTGTTGATAGCAAACTAACGCTTAGATAAAATAATACTAATAAAAATATAATTAATGGATTAAAAGTGATTTAAAATTGATTATTAAAGAGTATTGGATATGACGGTGCTGACGCCGTGGACGAGGATCGTGGGCGGAAGATCGTTGGTGATTGTGCCAAGGTCATCGAGAAAATCGGATGCAGCACTCTCCTCCAACGGCGGGTTGGATAAATAGATGAAGGAGAGCGAGGTGAAAGCCGACTGCTCGCTGATCAGCTCGTTGCATCTGCTCAAGTACTCCTCGGGCTCCTGGTTTTGTGACTCGAAGACATCCTTCCAACCAATCACCGGATATATCTCTGCGCTGATTCTCAACTCTTTCAGAAGTTCCTTGATCTTGTCGACGTGGTTCTGCTGTGCAGGTGTGTTGACCAAAAGCGGAGAGTGCTTGGTCTCATCGCAAACGCAGATCCTCAGCGTAAACTTGCGCCACTGCTGTACCATGTTTATGATGCACGCCAGCTGCATCATGAACAAGGATGTTGTATCGAAGGCGTCTCCTTCAGTTGGATGCAAGAAATTGATGGGCCACACGTCAATAAACTTTTTTTCCTTCCTGAAACATCATCATAATACATGATTTATAAACGCGTATTATTAGACATTAAATATTTGACACTTACTTGTTGTGATCTTTGTTCAATTTATAAAAGTTGCGACAAACGCACAGATTTTTGTTGAATCGCAGAACGTCGCTCATCATGTGCACATATTCCACTGCGCCCAAATTACTGAAATCCTTCAATGGGAATATGTCTTCGGTGAAACTGTTGCTCTGATAAGATGATTCGACGCTAATAGTTGAAACAGCAATAATTAATACATTTTCTACTTAAAAATATAAATAAGTAGATTAAGTTAATACCTTAATAAAAAGTCTTGTGGTACTTGTTTATCCAGGAATCCAAGGACGACAGTGTTTGGTTTCATGGCTCCCATGCCTGAAAGCCTCATGAGGTGCTGCAAACCATCCTGAACGGTCTTGGCGACAGTCAATTCGACGAAAGCTTTGACCTTCAAATGATCCACTAAATTCAACCAATGCGGCAATAATTCCAAACTAGGATCCGCCACTTCGTTATTCGCGTCTCCGGTGATTACGTGTCCCAGGACGTAAAGCCCGCTCTTCTTCAAATCGTTTATGAAATCGATTAAAGGACACGCGGATCTCGGACTGTTCACTAATAGCAGCATCTGCGGCCTCCAAAACTTCACGTGATCCTTCCTGGAGTCCAGAAGCAACAGATATTTGCGCACCTAAACAATGTTACAATTGTTGCTCATTATTTGATTCAATTAGATGTGTGTGAAGCGTACTTGATGGAAGATCAATGCCTGACTTATGCTTCCCCAATGAGTTTCCTTGGAAGGTGAGAATAAATGAAGGAACATGATTAGGATCAGGCACAGCAGGATGCTGCAGGACGCGTATATCGGACTGATCACGAACATCATGATGAGCGTTCCCATTAAGCCGATGAAAGCCGTGTGCCAGGTGAAGTATTTGAACGAAGGCCGGAAGTTAGGTGCACTGGCCAATTCCAATCCTTAATTATCGAAAATATAGGAAATTAGTACATGAAAAAGACATTTACATTCGAAGTATTCACCTAAACAAGCCATGTTAGTCGCCAGGTAACTCAATAGGAACAGCACGGAATTCAATTGCGCTATCAAATTCAACGATCCGATGAGAAGTACGAATTCCACCAAAAGCCAGGAACAAATCACGGCGGCCACGGGATTTCCCCTCCACGTACCTTTGGTTACGAAGTCCAAGAGCGATCCTTAAAATACGCAAATTTAGTACGATTTCTATGCTTGTTTCCAAGAATTTGTAAATTACCGAAAACTCGGTCTTTGGCTAACGCTTCCAGAACTCGAGATCCACCAATCACGTTACTTAACGCCGCTGACCATGTGGCAGTTATCAAACCGAGTGCCACGTTTCCGGTGAGCACGTTGATTCCCGCCAAGTACAAGTAATCGTTTTGCAAGAGGAAACGGCTGCAAGTCGCCGCCGTCAATAACGAAATTGCTATGTAAATCACCAAAGTGTAAGCCACCGCGGACAAAGTACCATGCAAAATGGATTTCCCTGGAGTCTTCAGTTCGCCTAAATATTTAGAATTCGTTTAATTTTATAAATTAAGCTGAAGTATTTAAATTACCGCTCATATTAGCACCAGCCATGATTCCAGTGACGCCAGAGAATAATACTCCGAAGACCGAAGCGAACGACACCATTTCTCCGTGCGAGGTGTAGTCTTTTCCGTAACTGGGATACAAGTTATCGTTCATCGTTAAGCCGCTCAAGCCTGTGTATTGTGCCGTAGTTATATTTCCGACCAAATCGTTTGCATCGGGAATCGCCACCTAGTAAAACCGATACAAAAATTTAAATCATTTCAAAGCTAATTATTAATTATTTCTTACTTCCAAAGGCCCTTGATAAAAGAAACTGAAAAATGTAATGCCCAGGCACGCGCAAACTATGGTCAGGATAAAAACGCTCGTTTTAGCGAACATACTGGCTCCAATCAGACACACCACCAAGTTCAAGGTGTTAACGCCTGAGCAATACAAGAACTGCCACCATCTGCCATCTGGTATAACTCCCTTGATCAAGTACCCTGATGGTCCAATATTTTCAACTAATCCTTCCACGCACCCTGAGATACATAGAGCACTGCTTGCAATATTTGCCAAAAAGAACAATGTGCCAATGGATCCACCAAACTCAGGTCCCAAAGTCCTACTTATCATAACTGAAGCAACGGAATAGGAAAAAAAATGCTCATAACTAGATACAAATGATAATATTACTAAACAGTAAAAGGATACAATAAGCTCCTCCACCCTCCACAGCTCCATTGGTTGAGATGGCACAAACTGAAGACACAGTGAACACCAAAATGGCATAAGCTATCACAAACTGAAGCAAAGTAACCAACAGTCCTGCATTCCCAACTATGTAGCCTAAAAGAAAACAATATTTGTATACTTCATCAGTGCATGGATTCATTAATGTTACCCATTCGCAAAAAAATCAAGGCTGAGAACATGGAAAGTGAGACTGGGCTGAATACCCCAGCAAATGTTCCCAAGGTTCTTGTTTCTGTCCTTTGTTCAGACATTGAACCGAATTCTATGTATCCCCCATCATTGGTGTTGGTGGTGGTGGTATTTCTGCCGAAGAGCCCAGACAGATGTCCCATGATTTTGCTCCTCTGGGAGACCAATGGACTTTTATCATTTAAATCATTGTTGGTGGAACCTACGTCCGGGGCGAGCATCTTCGTAGAATTTGCACTTCCCGTGTTGGAAGACGATAACGCTGGCAAAATAATATTTACATGACTAATCTGATAATAATTCGCATCAACAACAAACGAAATTCGATTGAAATGAAAATTTATCGTTACGAAATACTCACGTTCAAGGAAGGCACAAAACTAAACTGTTTTTTTCTTGGATAAACGTCTAGTAGTAAATGCTAGGGGCGTAGAAACATTTCGAAATGTGTATTGTATTCATAAACACATACGTAAGTAATTGTACTGAAATGCATTTAATGTATAGGCAACTAAATTAACATGGTAACAAAGTGATGTAAGAAGTGTGTGTTGCACTATGCTAATGATAATCTTTATTATATAAAGTTACAACTAATTGAGCTCCTGTTGTTATTTAATTAATATTGGAAATATAATAAAATTTTAATGATTATACCAGTGCTCCGCAACCGGTGTGTCATGAGCCGACACAAGTGTGACGCGATTAAATAAGACAATATTCTAACTAAATAATTTTTGAACGGTCCAATTCGAGAGGAATTTATAGAATTAAGTAATGACGGGACGTTAAAATTTTACTTTGCGGATGTCTTCTGGATTTTCGTTAAGAAAGAATTTGGTGTGTCGTAGGTGAGAAAAGGTTGCGGAGCACTGGATTATACAATATTATCATAATTATATCACAAATACGCGTGCGCAAGGCCCGCAATGTTTCACAACATCATGCATAGATGTCATCAGAAACCTCAACAAAGTGCAATAGATGCAAGGAATCTTCTCAACTGGTCCCAAACGTCAGAAGCTATTGCATGCTAGTGAAGAGGAACCGAGTTAACTTGCAAAAAAATAAGTGATTGTACAAAATTTTTATATTCATATAGATTTTGTGAAGTGCTAATTTGAAGTTATAAAGAAGACAAGACATCCAACAACATGGGCAAAGGTATATTTTAAGTAGTTGAAGCAGTTACAATTAGGGGAATCCCCTCTTTATGTTTCTTACATTTTTTTTTTATTGCATCATGATAATGTAATTTGATATTTTTTTCTTATTGCTATTTAAGTTTTTTAATTTATGATTATATCCACTAAAAAAAGATGCATTGCATTGATGAGTATTATGAATATTAATAATATTAACCCAGCGTTAGTGTTGTGGAGTATCACATACCCCAGCATCACTATTTAATGCTCTAAAACAGTGATTCCCAAAGTGGTCTATATCGACCCCCAGGGATCTATGACAACCTGCAAGAGGATTATGTAAGCACAAAAAAAAATTGGGGGTCTATGAAATGAAAATGGGGGTCCACGATAGTGGATCTCAACATACACTGATAGTGCCTATTAAATTATACTATCTTATAATATAAAGA